ATTTTACTGAGAGTTCATTGAACTTCTTGGATGTGTAAATTAATACTTTTTTAAACTTGGGAAGTTTGGGCGCATTATTTCTTCAAAGTCTTCCTGCCTCTTTCTCTCTATCTCTGGTGGGACTCAAATTATACATATTTTAGAATGCTTGTTAATGTCCATCAGGTATCTAAGGAACTATGAATTTTCTTCATTTTTCTTCTTTCTATTCCACAGATTAGATCATCTCAATTGATCTATCCTTAAGTTTGCTGATCCTTTTTTGAGCCAACTCACATCTGCTCTTAAGCTCTTCTAGTGAATTTTTTATTTTACTGTACTTTGAACTCCAGAATTTCTATTTGATTTTTTTAATTTTTTAATATTTTATTTTTTAATCCTGACCCAAGGATGTTTTTCCATTGATTTTTAGAGAGAGTGGAAGAGAGAGGGGAAAACAGAGAGAAATGTCGATGTACATCAATTAGTTGCCTCCTGCATGAGCCCTCACCATGGTCCAGGTCTCTCTATTCCCTTCCCTTCCTCTCTGTAGGGGAAAAAAAAAATCAATAAAATATATTTTTAAAATAAATAAATATAATAAAATGAGGTCTTCTAGAAAAATTATCTGGGCATTGGGCTTTGGTCTCCCTTCTGATAGTTGCTGGGTTGCTTATTTTCACTGTGATTGTGGGGCCATTAAGTTTCAAGACTACCATCGGGTTGGAGAAAGGAAAATGAGACTGGGGTAATTTTTTAAATACTTTTCTTGATTTCAGAGAGGTAAGGAGAGAGAGAGGGAGAGGGAGAGGGAGAGAGAGAGAAACCTCAATGATGAAAGAGAATCATTGATCGGCTGCCTCTTTGCATGCCCCTACTAGGGATCAAGCCTGCAACCTGGGCATGTGTCCTGACCAGGAATTGAACTGTGACCTCCTGATTCATAGGTTGATGCTCAGCTCCAAGCCATGCTGGCTGGGTAAGACTAGGGTAATTTGAAACACACCCAAGTTCACTGTGCATACCAAGATTTAGCCATTTTCCTAATAGACACTCCCCAAATTGTGGTTACCTGTTCAATTAATTCCAAGGTTCTGAAAATGTGATTTTGACAATTTTTCCACTGTCCTCATTGCTTTTATGGAAGAGAGGGTCTCTTTATTCTTCCATTCCTGCTAAATGGAACCCCCTCATCCTGGTTTCTGAGCTCAGTTTTCCTGTCTGAAGGGCCTATTCTCTGTACTCATAGTTGTCTAACCCTTGGGATCCATGAGATCTATTATCACGCCCTCCTCTTCCTAGAAGATTCCCAGGCCTCAAGCCCAATCACAGGAGCAGCTGGCCCTGGCTTCCATATCCTGGAGCTCCTGAGGGTCGCAATATACCCCACCATCCCTCCTGGCTTCCGGGGCCCCAGCCTCAGCGTCCAAGCCAGGCTCTCCTACCCTGCCCCATCCTGCTTCTGCCTAGCCAGTCCTGGAGCATTAAACGGTGCCAACCCTAAGTGCCCTGGTTACCACAAATCCCCCTGCCCTGTAGCTGATGGGCCCTGCAGGAAGGGTGGGGCAGAGCAGGCTCTGGGGGAGAAAACAAACCTCAGGCACCACAGCTCTGCCAGTCGGCGTGCCTCCGGCTTCCCTGGGTGGAGGCAGAGGGGCCTGCATGGCAGGGCCTCCGTGGGTGAGGACACTTCCAACCTCCTTTGGTAACTGCTCATTCTGGACTCTGCCTCCTGCCCTGCTTTCGCCACCCCTCTCCGACTGTGGGAGGGGGTGGGCCTCAGGCTGGGGAATGCCAGCTCCATCTGGGGCTCTGGGGGGGGGGGGGGGGGTAATGCGTGCTAGAGGTGGGGCCAGAATAAAAGAAAACATCTCTCAGAGTCTTGAATGAGGGGACCTGACATGCCTTTTCTCCTTCCCTCCTCCCCGCTTCAGTATTATTTTTCTAGCTTTCTCTGCACAGATCTATATGTGTGTCCTCTGCTCTCTGCAGTCTGTGTGTCATTCTCTACACACATCTGTCTGTCCTCACACATCTGGCTGGCTCCTTGGCCCCTCGCACCTCTGCGGGGCGGGTGGCAGCGCAGCGGCGGAGGCCCGCTGGGAGGCGCACAGCCATTTGGAGATCTGCGGGGAGGGAGGGGGGAGGGAGGAAGGGCTGGGGCGGCTGGGCGAGACTGTGGGCTCTGCGGGCGAGGCTGCGGCAGGGCAGGGCCAGCCAGGGGAGCCCACGCCGCCTCCACTGGGGAAACAGGCAGCTGGTCCACGCGTCTGGCACCGCCCAGCCCCTGCACGCCGGGCTGGCCTAGGCGCCCTGCGCCCAGCGACGCCAGAACGGAGCCTCCGCGAACCAGAGCGGGATCCCAGCTGAGGCCGGCACCGCAGGCAGCGCGCACGGGGCAGAGGAAGCAGCCGAGCGAGTAAGAAACGTGAGGCCTGGGGTGGCGCCGCAGAGGCCCCAGGAGGGTGGTCCCGGCCCCTCTTTACTCCCCCGCCACCCCCACCCCCGTTCTGCAGCGGCCCCGCGCCCCTACAAACCCCGGGGGGAGCTCAGCGCTGGGAGGGCGGGAGCGAGGACTAAGTGGAGCCCAAGTGCGCCCCAATGAACGCCATCCCCGAGGATCCCAGACTCCTGGCTGGTGCCCTGTGCAGGCCACCGGACCCGCCATCGGGCCGCGGGGAAGGAAGGGGTCTGCCTGAGTCCCAGACGAGCATCCACCCCGCGTTAGAGGCATAAGCCAGCCTCCCTGGCCCCTTGTCGTCGTCGTTTGGAGAGAGGATACCTTAACATCTACCCACGAAGGGAGAACTAGGGTGCCCTTTGGGTCGGAGTGGAAGAGAAAAGAGGACCTGAGCTTTGTGGAGTTTGAAGCTAGAACCCACTCCCCACCCTTGAGCCAGGAAGTTTAACCCTCCGACGTGCGGATCACCCAGGCCATGCCCCCCTCTACGATGCCCTCCCCCCCATGTCTCCCTTCTCCCCCATCCTCCCCGCTCCTGTGTCTCAGGACCAAGTGTGGGAGAGGGGGCGTTGGGGTTTCTCCCATTCTGCCATTCTGACTGCGTGCAATGCGCAACCCCAAACCACGGAGCTGCCCAGCCCACCCCCTCGCGGGCCCAGGGATGCATCTCCCTCCCCCCAGGCCTTCCTGGGCTGAAGCCTGGCTCACGCAGGACTCGGCCCTCCTGGCACCACGCTGGAAAGGTCATGGGCTCTGAGCTTCACCCTCCGTCTTTGTCAATAATCAGTCAGATGCCTTCAGGGACCTGGGCATGCTCTGAGCACAGGGCAGGGCAGGGTAGGGTAGAGACGATTCTCTCTCATCGATGTTTCTAACTCTCTATCCCTCCTCTCTCTTTCCCTCTGGAAAAAAAAAAAAAGGCAATAAAATATATTTTAAAAAGTCAATGTAATAGAAATTTTTAAAAATTGTTTTAAAGAACGGTGTTTTCCACAGCTCACCTCTTCTGCGGCATTGGGGGTCGCTTTTGCACATGCGCGCCAGGGCGGGCGGGCAGGCGGGCACCGCGGAAACCCCAACCACGCCCTTCTATGAGCCAGCGCGCCGCGCCAGAACACGCCAGCCCGGCAAACGCCGAGCCCGGAACACGCCGGCAGCGCAGCTCCCAACACGCCAGCCGCGGGAACCCGAACACGCCAGAAGCGCGAACGCCCAGCACGGAACACGCCAGCCGCCCTAAGGCGCCATAGCGTGTCAGATGGCGCGTCAGAGCCCAAACGCCGGCAGGCTCCAGCTGCAGAAATGCACCCAAAATATACAGCGAATGCCCCCAAAATATACAAGGACTTATACAACTTAACAAAAGCAAGTCAGACAATCCAATTTTTAAAAAAATGACAGTTCTAATGACCTAAATCGACCCTTCTCCAATGAAGACATACAGAATGCTGAGACATGTAAAAAATAAGATTAAATAAATGCTCAGAGGCGAGTTTTGCTCAGTGGATAAAGCATCGGTCTGCGAATTGAAAGGTCCCAGGTTCGATTCCAGTCACATCCCCAGTGGGGTGGGGTGTGCAAGAGACAGCTGATCGTTGATTCTCTCTCATCGATGTTTCTCTCTATCCCTCTCTTCCTCTCTTAAAAAATCAATTATATATATATATATATATATATATATATATATATATATATATATATATTTTTTTTTTTTTTTTTTACAACAAAAATGATTAACAGAATGGACCCAGAGACATGGAAGCATGGAACAGTGTGAGGAATCTCAGAGGGAAGGCAGGGAGGGTGGGTGAGTGGGAGGTAATCAACCAATGATCTTGAATGCATAACCCATGGACACAGACAATAGGGAGCTGAAGGCCTGGGACAGAGGGGGGTGGGGGGGGCTGGCTGGAGGAAGTCAATGGGGAAGAAAAGGGGATATATGTAAAACTTTCAACAATAAAGATTTTAAAATAATTCTAGCCCTGGCTGGTTTGGCTCAGTTGATAGTGTCGGCCTGCAGAATGAAGGGTCCCAGGTTCGATTCCGGTCAAGGGCATGTACCTTAGTTGCGGGCACATCCCCAGGAGGGGGGGTGTAGGAGGCAGTTGATCAATGTTTCTCTCTCATCAATGTTTCTTTTTTTTTAATATATTTTATTGATTTTTATACAGAGAGAAAGGGAGAGAGATAGAGAGCTAAAAACATCCATGAGAGAGAGTCATCGATCAGCTGCCTCTTGCACACCCCCTACTGGGGATATGCCCGCAACCAAGCTACATGCCCTTGACGGGAATCGAACCTGGGACCCTTCAGTCCCCAAGTCGACGCTCTATCCATTGAGCCAAACCAATTCCCGCTCTCATCAATGTTTCTAACTTTCTATCCCTCACCCTTCCTTTCTGTAAAAAGGGGGAAAAAATCAAATATATTTTAAAAAATAGAAATAATTCTAAAAATTGTTTTAAATTAAAATTTTAAAAATGAGGACATTGGGCCGGACTTTAAGGGTCCATGTAGACCCAACAGCTATAAGATGCCCAGGATGCCATGGCCTGTTGCAGTTGACTGAGACAGTGGGATCTCACAGATTCATGGGTCAGGAGAACTGTTTCTGTCTCTGCAGGTGAAGTCAGAGCCGTGTGGGCGGATCCATTCACCCTCCTGCTCCAAGATGTCTCTCAGAGGTGGCTGCCACAGTAAGTTTCCTTCTGTGTCCTTCTATGGCTCATGGCCAGGCGAGGGCAGACGTTGGAGCGGGGGTTACAGAGCACGGGGCTAGGATGTTTGGCCAGGGAGCTCCAGGGGTGGATGTGGTATGATGGGCGTGGGGAGGGCCACACATAAGATCCCTGACGACTGTAAGAGGCATCTCATTTTTGTCAGTTTGTCTGTATCATTACTTCCCAACGTCTGGAGTGGAGCTCCTCTGAGAAACAGTAACAAGGTTACTTTAAAAAGTTTTCCATGGCTGCCTGGTCAACATTGCTCAGGGGTGGAGCATCAATCTATGAACCAGAAGGTCACAGTTTGATTCCCGGTTGGGGCACATGCCCAGGTTACAGGCTCAATCCCCAGTGTAGGGTGTGCAGGAGGCAGCCAATCAATGGTTCTCTCTCATCATTGATGTTTCTATCTCTCCCTCCCTCTCCCTTCTTCTCTAAAATCAATAAAAATCTATATATATAAAAGCCTAACCAACAGGCCGACCATTCAACCATTCAACTGTTCAACCAATAGCTATGATGAACACTGACCACCAGGAAGCAGATGCTCAATGCACAGGCATGCAAACATGGAACAGACTGATGAATCTCAGAGGGAAGGGGGAGAAGAGAGGGCAAGAAGAGATTAACAAAAGACCTTATATGCATATTAGAGGTCGCCTGGCCTGCAGGGATCTGGCCGAAACCAGGAGTCTGACATCCCCTGAGGGGTCCTGGATTGCAAGAGGGTGCAGACCAGGCTAAGGGACCTCACCGGTGCATGAATCCGTGCCCCGGGCCTCTAGTAAATATACATTAAAATTTCCATAACCAAATGAGCATGGGAAAAGAAGGTTTTGCTATTGCTGGACTTTTCAGAGCCTTTAATGTGGTGATGTGTGTTGTAAGGCTTCCATAGGAATGAGCAAGCCCAGTGGTCTTCCCAAATGTAACTGACCACAAGGAACATCTCACGGGACTGGGGGCGGCACAGAACACGCTCCCTGGCATTCACTGTCCTAAGGAAACCCTCCCTGGTGCACCCCCACGGGGAGGCCTCGTCTCCTAATCCATTTTATCTAATGAAGCACCCTCCCGTCCCTTCTCCTGGGTGAGTTGGGACTGTGAGTCTGTGTGGAATCAGGGACCCCCACCTTCGCCCCATTTATCTACCTGCCATCATTCCCCTCCCAGGTTCACCCCACTCACCACTGTCTATTCAAATTCTACCACTGGGTACATGTCCCGCTGCTTGGGGTTGCAGTCTTTCTTCCTAATTATTAAATCTTTGAACATCAAGAGGCTGTAGCAGCAGGGGGTAGGGGACGCTGGCATAGCCTGTCTGGGTGGGATCACCAGGCCCATGCCCCAGGGGAGTAAGGTGGCAGTGGGGTTACTGTGCAAAGAGGGATGCTTGGGGATGTAGGGATGCCCAGTCTGGCCACCTTTGGTACCCAAGGAGGGCTCAAGTCAAGAGCTAAGAATATCATTGCTAATACAGTACGAACTCAATGCATTCTGGTTACTGTTGTCACCTCGGTTGTGTTGCCTTATCGGGAAATCCAAGTCCAAGCCCCATGCCAGGTGGAAAGGCTGCCACTCAGGGGCATGGCAGAGCCCACGGACATCCGCCCACAGAGAGCTTGAGGGGGACATGTCCTCGCCCCTATGAGCCACTGGGAGTGGAGATGGGCAGAGTGTGAAGGCCTTTCCGGAACCTTCTGGGGTCAAGCCAGGCCCGTCAGAGCCCTGCCCATCCACATTCGTAGAGTCCCCCACAGCCCTCTGCATGCTCACGTCCGGAGGGCTCCAGGGCTGTGGTGGCACTCCTTGGAGGGGGAGGAGCCAGGTGGGCAGAGCCCTAGGCCCTGCACCCCCCATGGCTTCAGCCAGAGCAGTTCTGCTCCCATCTGCCTGCTCAGGTTTCATCGGCAGCGGGTCCCAGGCAATGGCAGGCCAGCTGCTGGGGGCTTTGGGGACCACCGCTTCCTCCATCATCTCCATTTCTGCCCAGCTCTTCCCACGTTGTCTGACCCAACGCCTTCCCTGTTCTCCGGACTTGTACACGCAGTGCTCACCGTGCGCCCTGCCGGCTCCCCCGCCCAACACCTCATTGATTGCTGCGTCGCCCAGTTCCTCCCAGTATTTCCAGTTCTTGGCTACCTGTGACCCTGCTGGTCACTTCAATGTTGTCATGACTCTGAGCCCCAGGGGTCACCTCTGGCCGTCTGGGCTCAGACCATTCATTCACGGCCCGCTGCACCCGCCCCCAGGGCTCCAACGAGGCCCCTGGCCTTCTCACTCACTCACTCAGACCCCTCATCCTCACTGCTCTAAGGGGCAGCTAACACCGCCCTATCCCCCACCCCCACCCCAGCTTCTGCCTGAGTTTCTGGTTCCTTCCTTGGCCTGTCTCCCCTGAGAAGCCCCCTCCACCCCAACCCCCACATGAGTTCTGTCCCAGACAGAGGTCTTTGTCTTCCCCTCCAAGCCACTGTTGCTTGGCTTTGCTGCCCTGGTTTGGGACACCAGACATTTCAGTCTCTCGGGCCAGAAACCTGGGGTGGCCCTCAATTCTCCTCCAACACCCCCAGCCCGGCCGCCTGCCCGAGGAAATCCTGGGGTTTCCGAATTGGGTCAGCTGATTGGCATTTCTGACTTCGCCCCAGTCCGGGCCCTCTCTTCAGACCCAACCTGGAAATACGTGCTTACTGAACCACCGGCAAGCGAATGACTTGAGATGCAGCTGATGGCCTCGCACATTTCTGGAACGGACGCAGAGCGGGCTCTTTAACGCCTCCCTGCCAGACCTAGGCCTGCTCTGGGAATTTATACACCGAACAGGAATTGCTTTACCTTTCTTAGCTCACAGATGATCCTGCTCGGTACACGCGAAGCTACCAAGATCTCCCCTTCAAACCTGGAAGACTCAGGGCAGCCCAACCCCCTGCCCATTGGGAGGGGCAAAGGGAAAAGTCCCCAGAAGGAAAAACAAGCACCAACGATTAGGGTCAGAGCTCAGGGGATAGGGGCAAGAAAGGGGCAGCTCCCACACTATCCACAGGCTGGTAGCAACCACAGCCTGGCAGAATGGGTAGGTGGGCTTGAGTCTCACTTGCGACGTGGGAGGCAGTGCTAGGGTTCAAGTACAACCTGGCACTGAGACCGGCTGTGGAATCTGAAGCCAGCTACCGAACATCCAGAAACCTCGATGTGCCCAGTCATGCCAGCCTTTCCATTTGATGCCAGGTTCGACGTACCCAGATAGAGTGGAGCTGGCTGCCAGGCTCTGCGAGGCGGCACGTGGCAGGTTCTCAGCCGTGCCAGCCCTTTGTCAGACCCCAGCACGGGCACAGGATGGGATATAAAGAGGTCACCAGCTGGCCCTCTGGGATTTGCCCTGGGAATCTACCCCAACACCAGACGCAGACACTCAGGTGCAGAATGGGGCTGACCAGGTCACACAACACGTTTGAGGCTAACACTCGGAAGCGCCCAGCCTGATGCCACACGGAGCCCACTGTTCTCGGGGAAGGAACGGCCCTCGTTAGAAGCTGAAACTGTTCATCCTAGAAGAAAGCTGTCACAACCGGCCCCTCAGCCTCACGTGGAGGCAGTGGACAGTCGGGCCAGCAAACCTTTCCCCTCCTGCCTGCTGCAGTCTGACCCGCTCCGGGTCCCAAGACTCCAGGAGACTCTGAACATCTGCAGCGAGGACTGAGGAGTTCCTTTTCCGGGGATTCTCTGGAGTTGTTTTGTTTGTTTATTAGAAATACCAGCTCACAAGAGTCCATAGTTAAATATTCAGGAGTTTCCTGAGCTGTTGTTAAACCACTGGTAGTCAGCATGAAGTCCACCACGGCGGGAGTATTTACACCCAGGGTATTGACAAACACTACAAATCAGGGATTTCTTTTCCTTCCTTTTTTTTTTTTTTTTTTTTTTTTCTGAAAGGTGCACAGTCATCGGTGTACTGAACAAACTAAACTCACAGCTTCCTTGCTCAGCATTCCATTATGAGATCCGCCCATATCACTGAACATAACTGTGGACCATTTACTCTCATCACCATGTAGTATTCCATTGCGTGAGTATCCCACAAATCACGTTTCCATTCCACTTTAATGGGCATTTGAACAGTCTTCGGTTTGGGGCTGTGAATGGGTACTGCCGTTGTGTGTGTGTGTGTTCTAGGTCATGTTCTAGAATGTTCTATTGCTGTGCAATAGAACTTTCTATGATAATGAAAATGTTCTGGGTCTTCACTGTCCAATACGATAGCCCCGCGCCGGCATGTGTAGCTACTGCGCACTTGATATGTGGCCAGTGCAACTGAATTTAAAAGTTTAATTAACGTTACCAGCTACATGTGGCTAGTGGCTACCATATTGAACTGCACAGTTTTAGGATACGGCTTCTGGTGAATATATGGGTGCATTTCTGTTGGAGAATGCATTCCGTTGAGGAGTACAATTTCTGTGTGTGTGTGTGTGTGTGTGTGTGTGTGTTTCGTTTTAATAGCTAGAGTTAAACAGTTTTCCAGAGTAACTGTGCCATGTCTGAGAGCTCTAGTTGCTCTACATTCTGCCAACACTTGGTATTGTCTGGATTTTTTCATTTGAGCCATTCTGCTGGGTGGTAGAGATATCACCCTGTGGCTCTCATTTGAATTCCCCTGGAGATAAAATATAGGTTAGCACCTTGGCTATCCTCTTTTGTGAAGCGATTGTTTGGCTCTCTTGCCCATTTTTCTATTAGATCTGATTATTACTGATCTCTAGGAATTCTTTCTATATTCTGAATGCCAGTCCTCTGTTGGATGCATTACTTTGGAAAATGTCTCCCTCTTTTTGGATTGCCTTTTTACTCTCATAATGGTATCTGTGTATTAATAGATGTTCTTCAGTTTTTAGATATAACATTTATCAAGTGTTATGTATAATTATTTACTTTATTCATGTTTAACCTTAAACCTTACAGGCAATAATACAGAAGATAGGATTATGGAACATTCTCTTGGAGTTCCTAAGAACGAGGGCTTTACTACTTCTCCTCCAAGATTAAAACTTTATAACGATGATAGCCAAGTTGGGCACCTTTCCATTGGAATGGCAGCCTTGTTCAAGAGGTCTTGTCTATTTTTGAAATTTCAGGTTCTAGGTTAAATGAGATTTAAAGGATTGCTCATAAAACACTTTAAACATTTTCCAAAATCTCATTTTTTTTTCAAGTCAGAAAGGTACCTCCCACACTTTAAGACATCGACAATGATCTCAATAGTTTAAGGACTCTCACAGCACATGTGGCGTAAGTGCCCAGCATGTCACCAACACTCTCTAATACACAATGAAAATGGTAGCTCTGTGGCATTGCTACCCCTTGTGAAGGAGTAGAACGATCAGTGGTACCTGCCTGATGCCAGCACACTGCCATTCATACCACGTGTAAAACCCAATTATTTAAAACAGCACGACTATCCAATTCCCAGACGACATGCGGTGTAGAGCGGAATTGGTAGATTCAGAAACCTGCGGCGTGTTCTTGGAATTCTTTTCAATTATAAATTACCTTGAGCATTAAATAAAGACACTGCGCTAATTTCTATCACCACCCTAGTGGCTGAACTTCAGTCGTTCGTTTAACAGGACCGGTTTCTGCTCAGTCTCAGCAGTCTCTTGCAGTAGGGTATTTGTAAGTGCACGTGAATGAATGAAAGGCCCAGCTCTAGACCCCTGTCTTGTCACAAGAGCGCCGGGGATGGCAAGCTGGTGACCCGAGCCAGAAGAGAAAAAGTATGCGCGATTATTTTCCCTCTGTCTCACACTGGCTTTGATTTAGAGTAGAATGCAAAAACCTGATTAAAAAAGAAAAGGGGCGGGGGGGGGGGGGGGGGGGGGGGAGAGAAGAACCTGAATGAGAGTCTGTTTCTAAGTTTAGTCCAGTCGCCAAGCACGATACTTTGTCTGCAAAAGACTTTACAGGGTGGGAAGTACTACAGCAGCAACTCACACCGAAAGGCAGGTGATCACGGGGAACGTGAGTCCTCGTGAGAAGACAGCCTGGGCAAACACCGCACATTGCCTGTCGGCTGCCGGGAAGGAACCCTGCAGGGCGTCCTCGTCACTCACTTGAAGAAAGGCTGTGCTAGGTCCCCTCCTTGACCGTGAGGGCTAGGTTTCAAAATTCATTTCCCGCGTCACCCCAAGGCACAGGGTCCTCCGTTAACACTGTGTGACGGCGAACGGCGGTAATGGATGGTGCGGCTGCTCTCTTGGGTTTTCCCCAAAGAGCAGACCTATTAGCGCGGTACGGCTAATGGAGAAAAATGGATGGTTGCACAGGGAAGTGAAGAAGGACCCTTTGGCGTCCTGGGATCCCCGAACCAGTTCCAGACGCCTGTGCAGACAGATGCCTCCCTGGTAAGCATTCTCCGGTGACCCGGGGCAGGCTGCAGCTGATGGATATATTTAGAAAGCCTACCTCTAAACCTGCCGGTGGTTCGTGGCTGGTACCTCTGTGTCCTGTTTAAGACACCTGAGGTCGTAAAGCTTCACTGTTCTGCCTTTCACACTGAGGTCTCTCGGTATTATGTGCAGCTTTGACTGTTATGTATTGAGCGCCTACTGGGTACAGGCATCCTGCTAGCCAGTGTGCCTTCATTCGTTCTCAGCAGAGCTCACTGCTCCCAGTCTACAGATGAAGTGACAAAGGTTCCGAAATGTGAATTACTCAGAGAGCACAACCTGCTGGAGGGAGGACTAGGGTTTGAATCCAGGACCATCTCTGTCTTACGTCGCCAGAGCCTGAGGTGCAGGTCCGCTCTGATGGGGAGCTCGAGGTCTCCCCAAAGGAAGGTGGCCGAGGAGGGACCCTCCTCTCCAGGGGACCCTGGGGCCATCCACCTTCTCAGAATACGGATGTTGGTGATGAAAAGACCTGGACTGACGCTGGTTTGGGTTCCAAGACAACTCAGGGCTCCTAAGGCATCTGGGAGGTGTAGGCGGTAAAGGGCTCATTCCCAAACACCCTGGAATGTTTTCAGGAATCCACGGTCTGTGAGTTACACACTGAGGAACTGTTCCATGCTCCCACCACGCCACACCCCTTCCCAGGAGTCCCTCCCCACCTCTGGGCCTTTGTCCCAATCTCCCCCTGCCCAGAATGCCTCCCGGCTTCACTTCCTCCGGGAAGCCTTCCCCGATCTGATCCAACCCCCAGCACTGCATGTCTGGGGCAGTTGTGGCCCACAGCCAAGGCCTGTCTGACTGCCCCGGAGTCCCCAGGTTAGGTGTCATCGCTGAGGCAGAAGGCCATGGTTGGAGGCCAGCAAAGCTGGTCCTCTTTCTCCATCTTCTTGCGCACCTCCCAGCCCTTCCCAAGGCCTTGGTGAAGACCTGCTGACCTATAACCTGTGTCTCCAGGGAGGAGAGTCCTTGTCTAGCACTGAGTCTTGGGTTCACTCACTCACTGTGTGACCCTGGGCAAGCCCACTGCCCTCTCTGGGCTTCCCTTCTCCTATCCCTGCTTTAGTTGAGCTCCTAGGCCAGTGTTCGGCAAACTCATCAGTCAACAGAGCCAAATATCAGCAGTACGACGACTGAAATTTCTTTGGAGAGCCACATTTTTTAAATTTAAACTTCTCCTAACGCCACTTCTTCAAAACAGACTCGCACAGGCCGCGGTATTTTGTGGAAGAGCCACACTCAAGGGGCCCAAGAGCTGCATGTGGCTCATGAGCCACAGTTTGCCGACCACGGTCCTAGGCCAGAGACTTCAGAGGAGCGGAGGGGAGGTCAGATGGTGCTACCAAAGGCTCCTTCGGGACTCCGCACCCTTCCGCCCTGGAAAAGCAGCCAGGAGAGAGTGCCTGGTCCTGACCTCAGCCTCCTCTGCTGAGCCAGGGATGCGTGCCTCCCAGGGCAGCGGGATGGAGGGGGGAAAGGGTGTAGCCAGCTCAGGATCCTCTCTCTTTGCTCCCGATAGCTTGGCCCAACTATACCATCCACTTCTACGCCGGACTGCAGCACATGGAGGACAGCAGTGTGTCTCTGTCTCCTATAATGTTGGCAAGTGTAGTCATAGGATTTATCATCACCATCTCCTGCTTCTTCATCATCCTGGTCAGCGTGTACCCCAAGAAGCCTTGGGACCCGCCCCGCCGCCACCGTCACTACTGGGGAGACCCCCAGGATGGCCAAGGTGAGCTGCTGCCCTTCTCAGGGCCTGCCCTCGCGTCCAATTGCGATTGCAACCCAGGACGCATCGAGGAGGCAGCTGCTCTGCCATGGGGTCAGGGGTGGGGGCCGCACAGGGAAGGCATCCTGAGGTCTTGGGTGATCGGGAAGAGCTCACAGATGCTCACCATGATGTCCTCCAAGGCGAGAGGAGCCTGGCTGTCTACCCGGGGTGTGGCTATTCCCCAGCCCTGCCCACTGTCGGTCCAGGCTGTACTGACAGCTGGTCCAGATGGTGCCGGGATGGAGGGCTGAATGGAGAAAGGCACAGGTGAGTGGGGTGGGAGGGTCATCTGGTAGGGGGATGACAAGGTGAATAGGTGCGGGGAGGTGTGGGGTGAGTGAGGGGATGGATCAATGGATTGTTGGAGAAAGGGATGAGGGCTGGGATGAGGGATGGAGAGCTGAATGGGAGGATGGAAGAATGGGTGAATGGAGAGGTAAATGGCTGGCTGGCTGGGGAGTATAAGTGTGGGATGTATGAGTGGGTGGGATGTGTGAGTGGATGGGTGGGCGGATGGGTGGAAAGATGGACAGGAGGATAGGGGAGTGAATAGGTGAGGTGTCGGGTGGGGTGAGTAGGTAAATGAATAAGTGAATGGATAAATGCAGGGGCTGAATGACGAGTGAATGAAGGACGAGCCTGCAGAGTGCAAGTGGAACTGACCTGAGACCTTCCCCGTCACAGGGTCACCCGCACAACAGAGCTGGGGGGGAACTCTTGGGCTGCCCAGTCCCGAAATGTCCACCTGCCTAGTGTGCCCCAACCTTTTACAGAACGCAGCCCTCCCCCCCACTCTCTCCTTCTCAGAAGGGGCCAGGGGTTTAAAAGCAGAGGAAGGATCCCCACGGTATTTAATTCTCAAGCGACCTTCAAGGGCAGGAAGCAGCCTGCCCTGCGCCCTGCAGGGCTTCTCCTGAGGCAGGGGAATGCGGGGAAGAGTCGGGGGAAGGGGGGTTCCCTGGCGCCAGCCTGAGGCCCAGGCCGAATGTCTGTTCCCGCAGACTCCCAGGAGCGCCCCCGCTGCAGGGGCGGGGTGCACTGCACCTGCGGCCTCAGGGGAGACCGGCTCGCACCCTCAGGCTGTTCTCACCAGGATGCTCCACCAAGGTAGGAGGCCTCCTGGGGGGAGGGCGTGAGAGGGAGGGCTCTGGGCACAGTGCCCCCCCATGGGAAATAGCCACACCTCCCCAAGGGGCAAAGATGCAGAAGCCATCTGCTCAGAGGGTGTGACCATCTCTCACCCTCCTGGCCAAGCAGGTCCCGGGGAGGCAGGGTCTGACTCAGATGCCACCAGGAGACACTCAAGAGGGAAGAGAAAGCTCAGCCCCTTCAGGCGGGGGCGAAGGGGTGGGCTGGAGGGTCCGGGACCCAGCCCCTCGTCTATGCCCCCAAAGCCCAAAGCCCAAAGCCCATCCACTGGGACGGGGGTCAGTGCATCCAAATTGCACTCGGGCCATGGGGCGTCCCTGTCCCATTGGCGAATTCTCCTCTGGGCCACTGGGTCCTCTCCAGCAGGTCACCCTCCGGCTCGTACTTGATGCTTCACTTTCCTCTGGGGGCCTTCAAGCCCTTCCACTTCCCTTCTCCCTCTGCTCCCAGGTGCGGGGAGGGGCAGTGCACATGCCCTCCCGCCAGAGGGCGCTGTTTAGCCCCCACACGTCAGGCTCATAGGGGCCCCGGGGCTGGAAGGGCCACTTTGAGAGACTTCAGATCAGGGTGCCTGAGGCTGCTGCAGGCAGCTCTGCCCACACCCAGGTCCCCAGCATCCTGCTGCTCTGAGCCGCCTGTGCTCGGAGACCTGCTCGCAGAGTTCACACAGAACATGCGGCGGAGTCAGGACCGGAATCTCGGTCTCTGTGGTTCTGGGGGTGGAGAGGTGTCCCTGGAGCCGCCATGACAAAGGCCTGGCCGGTCCCAGCAGGCAGCTTGTTGCTGAGCGCAGGCTCCCAGCTCTGGGGAAAGGCCCTGAGGGAGCCCTTCCTTCTCTCGTAGCTACGAAGAGTGCACGGGGCCCGGGGCCACTCAGCTGTACCTCCCCACGGAGGCGCCGCCGCCCTACTGGCCCACGGACAGCGACAGCGACCTCCACACCGTCTCCGTGGACGCCCTGCCCCCTTACGAGGCTGTGTGGGCGCCTTGCCCTCCACCGAGCTGGCTGCCACTGCCGGGCCCAGAGCCGGAGCCAAGCAGCCCCCAGGGCCCACCGACCCCAAAAGGAAGCCGGGCTTGCAGCCCAGAGATGATTGTGTGAACGTCAGCAGGTCACGTCCTGCCAGGCCCTAGGGGCTGAGGAAGACCTTACGGGAACACAGGGGAGCGCGTGCACACACACATACATTCTCATACAGACACACATGCACACATACACACTCATACAGACACAAATGCATGCACACACAGAGAAACACACGCACACATACACACATATATATACACACACAGGCACAAACGCATGCAAACACAGAGTAACACGCACACACACAAACGCATGCACACATAAACACAAACTCATGCACACACGAACACACACACTCATGCACACGCGAACACATGCACACACACAAACTCTTGTGCTTACACAACAGCACTCCTACATGCACACATATAATTTATACACACACACAGACATATACACACTGAATACCCATGTGTACATACACATCCAAACATGCCTCACATGTGTGAAGACACATACACAGATGCCCCCCCCTCACGCGCACCATGCGAACTCATCTGTGAAGGTTCCATTCAAAAGGAAGCTCTCCCTACCTCCTGCCCCTCCGCAGCCTGCCGGCCATGGCTTACAGACAGCATGGGAGGAGAGAGGTGCGGAAGGGCCCAAGGCCTGCTCCCGCCTCTCCCGGGCCTGTCTGCCCCTGCCCTCGCCGGGCAGGAGGTGCCCACACTCTGATTCTGTCTCTAGAAACAGCCGGTCAGCTGTCTGCCCCACCCCCTCTAAGGGCTGCCTGTCCCCTGGCTGGTGGGGCAGGTCTCAGTGGGACTCAGCTGCCCACTGACCCTCTCTACCAAGCCCAGGGCGGCAGAGCTACATCGCCACCTGCCACTTACGAGGCGCGGACTCGGGCCTGCGGGGCCCAGGCACACACACCCCGGAGGCCCTTCCAGCCCTCTCTGCCCTCACCCAACGGCGTGCCCTCAGCCAGGCGGTGCCAGCCCAGTTATGTGCGAAGCCCCCGCCCTGACCCACAGGGATGAGCAGGGCTCCTGGGGAGGGGGTGCCCTGGTGGTGAGGGGGCCAGCCACTTCCCAGGACTGAGCATCTTCAAGGAACATAAGGGCTCTGAGGCGCAGGGGCGGCCCCTCGCTAGGGATGGGCCCAGACGGCCCGAGCTTACATGGGCTGGCGCCAGGCCCCAGCAGCTGGTACTGCCCTCTGGGCTGTTTGCAGAGACGTATAGGGCAATGCGAGCCCCCTCACACCGCTGCGGGGACCAGTGGTTGAATCTCGGCCTCGATGCCGGGCGCCGCAGAAGGATGTACGTGGGATAGAGAGGCCCCCGATCTTGGCGCATGAGGCCCAGCAGTTTCCATCAGAGACCTGGCAGGTAGCAGAGCAGACTCCTGGACGCCCAGCCCGCCCGTCAGAGGGGGGGGGGGGGGCAGCTGGGAATCTCTGAGGAGGCTCCCACCAGCATCACCAGCGGCAGGGAGCAGAGGCCTCAAGTCCACTCTGCCTCCCTCGCCCATCCTTAAACACCAAACACCCCTTCTCTATCTCCCCATCACCACCCCACCAAGGGCTAAAACAACTCACTCCCCCCTTTCTTCAGAAGAGGGCTAGCAAGAATGGCACCTGTGCATTTTATTTTGTATACAAACTCGTATTTTTGTCCGGGCAGGACTGAAAGGAATCCGGTCAAAGGTTCAGCGGCACCTGAAGCTTCAGGCTCCGCATGGAGTAGGGACCTTGTTTACAAGCAGTTCTGTCACTTGTGGTTTACTTGTACTGTGTTTTGTTTTTTGTTTTGTTTTTTTTTCAAGCAAAAAATATATATCTGTCCACTGTACTGTATTGCTTTATATGCACTCCAGGGGTGAAACCCATCCTGCTTCTGCTACCTTTAAAAGTGCTTTGGGGGGGGTAAGCAGGGGTACCCCCTATGTACTCATCAATGTTGGAAGGTGAACAGCTTTTCTTGCTCCTGGATTAAGCGCTATTTAAGCTATTTAAGTGGATCTTTTCTGTGTTCGAAATAAATACATCATCTCAATAAAAGCGTTGCAAGAAGTAACTGAGGCAGGGTGAGCTAGAAGAGGCCAATGCAGGGAAAGTGTATGAATACTTTCCACAAGATTTGTTTTAAAACTTCAAAATAAAAAAGGAACATTGTATGTAAGGGGGCCTGCGCCATCTGAAACTTCTAAGGGAAGAAAACAGGAATCAACATCAAACTGAAAATACATTACTCCTCTCACCATGAGCGCCCCCCGAAGCCTTGTCATCTTCCTGTTGGACCGAATATTGAGTATGTGGGTAGTCAGTGTGACTTACAAGAGTCCTGCTTCCATCAGTCCCGCTCCAAGCCCACACTGCCACCTGCTGGCCACCTGCTGCCACTGTCCAAAGCAAATGAACCTACACCTGAACAACGAGCAAATTGCGTCATCCCACGTTCAAACCCACTGTCCACGGGCACTCAGAGTTGTAGACGAAACTTGTCTTCCGCCCTTGGGATGTTCTGTGAGGGTTAACCCATTCAAGAATTCCATTTTCAGGAATAGCCCCTGCCCCCCCCCCCCCCAGCATCTCTCCCTGGGCACAGCCTGCCACCTAAGCCCCATCTCTGTATGTGATACAATCTCTCCCCTGTCCTAAACACCAGTGTGCATGGCTCAGAGGCCCCCTCCGTGTTCTGGGGCCCCTCCTCCTGGGAAGGACTGCAGCAGCCTTCGTGATAGAGGCATCACCGCCCTACACTGACTCCCCGTCCCAACGACAAACACACTCAGGGTCCCACTGGCGCAGGAGACTGTTGGGCTGGGCCTTTCCCTGGACCACACAGGGCACCACATTCAAGGTCCTTCTGCAAACAAGGTTGACCTCTCTGCCAGGGGCCTGGGGGTGGGGGGGCTGAGAAGGGACCCTTGTGCAGGCTGGGTGGCCTCCTCTCGCCACAGTCTTCAGAAAGGGGAGCTGCCACCGATGGCATAAGAGGCTGTCACACGGCCTTTGGACAGGGCCCCCGTAGCTCGCCACACGAGCAGCAGAAATCTCGCGAGAGGAGGAGGAACGAGGGCTGGTACAAAGTATGGCGGTCCGCGGCTTGCACTGGCCAAGCCCCCTGTACATCCACATGTGGGGGTCCCACACCTGCTCCTGGAGACACCCTGACACACACCGAACGCCGCACCGCTCAGCCCGCAGCACCTGCGGGTTTGTGCGCGTCCTTAGACGGCTTTGGTGCGCGCACACACACACACACACACACACACGCGCGCGCGCGCGCGCGCGCGCGAGCGCCCCTTGCACACTCAGAGGTCCCACATACACACTCCAAGGCCACCCACTCTCCTCTTAGGTGACTGACCTGATGCCTGACCAGGCTCTGGCTGTGAGCAATGGACGGACCCGCAGCGTCGTTGTGGGAGAATGAGCCTTCCTTCCTGGGCTCTGCTTCACTAGACCTCACGGCCTGACCTAACGGCCTGACCTCACGGGCCTGACCTCACGGCCTGACCTCCCGGCCTGACCTCACGGGCACGGGCCTGACCTCCCGGCCTGACCTCCCAGCCTGACCTCCCGGCCTGACCTCACGGGCCTGACCTCACGGGCCTGACCTCACGGCCTGACCTCACGGCCTGACCTCACGGCCTGACCTCCCGGCCTGACCTCCCGGGCCTGACCTCCCGGCCTGACCTCACGGCCTGACCTCATGGGCCTGACCTCCCGGCCTGACCTCACAGCCTGACCTCACGGGCACGGGCCTGACCTCACGAACTGACCTCACGTGGCCCCGCCCCTAAGCCCACGTGAACTCTCCCGGGACCAATTGCCTGGCTGGGGGCGGGGCCTGCCTCTGCCCTATGGCTGCTGGCCGCCGGGTCCATGCCCAGCCGCAAAGCTGGCTCCTAACTACAGGGTGGAGGGGGGCAGACAGCACTGGGAATGGGGGCCCTCCACTCCCTGACAGGCTCTGAGCCTGTGAGCCAGTTTCAGGAGGCAGAGACCCAACTTAAACCAGAAGGGCTGTTTGTGGGCTCGTGGGCCTGAAGTGTCCACGTGGCCATTCCAGCTTCAGGCGCAGCTGGGCCCCTGAGGCCCCAGAGCACGGGCAGGTGTGCTGGCTCTCGATCCTGCTGCCTGCCCTGCCTTCATTCTCACACGGGAGCAATGGCCGTGGACACCATAGGCTGCTGGCTGCTCCTCATCACTGATGTATCTCTCTCTCTCCCTCTTCCTTCCTCTCTCTGGAATCAATTTAAAAATAAATAAAAACACCTCATATGCTCAATTCCCTCCAGGGGCTCCCAAGGCCACACCAGGCCCCAAACTCAGCCCCTCACCATCCTTCCGAGCTTATCCGTGCCCCTTCCCCCCCCCCACCCCCCCCCCCCGGCCCTCGTGGCTTCTTCAGGACCCTGAACAAGCTCAGCCACCCCAACCTGGCAGCCTCCGTGTTGTGGGATCTAACCCTGGGTTCAAAATAAGACCACTGGAGGCTGATGATTTATTTAAAAAAAAAAAAAAAAAAAAAAAGCAGGCAAGAATTTATTGAAATATCTGGCCAGAGCAGCCGCAAGAGCACCACACACAGGCAGTCTCCAAACGTCTGCGCTGCTTTAGGGGCAGGTAGTTATTTTTAAAGGTTCTGAGAAGGAAAACCTCATTCTGTAACAAACTGTTGTTTGGAATTTTTTCTGCTGTTCTTCCTAGATAAAATGTTGCTTTCTAGTTTGCTTTAGCCCGTTTGAAGAATGATGAAGATAAACTTAGCTGTCTGACCTTGTAGGCCAGAGACCAGATATGCCCACAATCTCAATACCATGCCAGGTGTACTTTTTTAAAAATTGGATAGAACAGCATTGTTTTTCAAGGCCACCATCGAGATAACCACTAAGTGCACTTAAAAAAAAAAAAGTAAGTTCTGCCTGTAACCTTGCTTGGAATTTGAATTCATCCTATTTCACTCTGCCCAGGCTCCTCTGCCCCTCCCACTCCACACCCCAACCCCTCTCTTTCTGGTTCCTCACCTCTAACCTTGAAAAAGATTCTTTCCAAAAATGGGGACTTTTTTAAAACGCCACGGGACATGGGACAAATTGTTAAAAATCGGGACTGTCCCGCCAAAAGTGGGACGTCTGGTCACCTTACCTTAAATGTCCCTTCTGGGAGTTACCTTCCTCACCACCAATCTCTCCAAAACGTCAACTTTGGTGAATTTCCTGCAAAATCTATTTTAAATGTATTCACTCATTTTCCACGTCCCCCCACTAAAATGTAAGCTCCATGAGATACTTTGTCTTGTTCACCACTGTTTTCCAGGACCCATCAAATAAAACCATCAAAGGAAAATACAGATGAATGACAGCAAAAGCAAACACTCACTACAATGTCCACCGTTGAAGATACCCAATATTATGGTGTTGGTGCCATTCCTTCAGCCTTTTTTTCCCTACATGTACGTACATTTAAAATGTGGAATTTTAACATTTATAGTGTTGCATTCTGCTTTTTTTCCTCATGGAGTTATTTTTAACTAATTTTAGACCTAGAGAAAAAAATTCAACATAGTACAAAGAATTCCCTTTCATTCCTTCCCCTGCAACTAATGATCTCCCACAACCATACTATTGTTTTCTGTCCCAGCCAGTGTGGTTGCTGTGAAACTGTTACGGCTTGACAGTATGTCTGTATCCCATCCTCCATTCCCCCTACATCCGTTGACCTTCATACCTTCATTGTTCATTTGGGGGAGGGGGTATCGTGAAACAGTTACTGGGGCTCTACGAGTCAGCGTCATGCAAAAGATACATACAAAAGGTCCATTCCCTTCTCAGCCCTGCAATCCGTTCCCTTCTCTCCACCCTGCTCTGCAGTTCCTGTTATCCTTCCAGCACTCCCCACGCACCTGTTTCTTAGGCCTCCTCTTGTTTGCGAAAGGGAAGCATACTCTAATGCTCATTTGGACACTGCTTATTTTTCACTTAGTGTGTCCTGGAAACCACATCATCTGTTCACAAAGATCTTCCTCGTCCTTTTTTTTAAAGTTGCATACTACTCCACTGTGTGGCCATAACCACTCTGGTGTGTATGGGGCTTTAGGTTGCTGCCAATATTTTGCATTTATAAACAATGCCGCAATAAATAACCAGGTGCATATATATTTTCTTATAGAAAAGCGTGTGTGTGTGTGTGTGTGTGTGTATAGATAAATTAGATCCCAGAATACATTATTGCTGGGTCATAATGCAAATACTATATATATGCCATTTGTTAGATATTATCAAATTTCTCTCCAGAGGGTTGTACAAATTTACTCACAACACAATTTGAGAGTGCTTGTTTTCCCATGGCCTCTCACCCACAGAACGTGGGGTTTTTTGTCATTGGGTTTTTGGGGTGCATTTGTTGTTTTTGCCAGCTGGTAGGTGAAAAATGAAATCTGTTTTAATTTGCCGACTTATTCTGTCCGGACTGCTGTAACAAAATTCCACACGCTGGGTAGCTTACAAACAACAGAAATTTATTTCCCAGTCCAGGAGGCTGGCAGTCCGAGATGCTCAGACTGAGCTGTGGGGAAAGCTGTGGACCGATCACATACAAACTCTCACTGATGGCCCCCGCACGCCAAGGGTCCTGGTAGCAGCAGCTCCCGCTCCTCAGGTTCCTAGTCGATCCTTTGGGCTGCGGCCCCTCCTCTTGCCCACACAGCCTGAGAAGCAGGCCAGACAGGAAGGGCCAAAAGCCAGCGTGCTTGCCCCTTAGCCTCCCTCTGGGACTGGACCCCGGGAACCCCTGCCACCCATTTCGTGCCGGGTGCCACACCCACAAAGACCTTCCTTTACACCAACCCCTTCTCAGGGAGGGAGGGGTCCGGGCCTGTCTCCCCCGAGTTAACAACTGCCCCTCCCCGCGTCTGCAGCCATTGCTCTAGGGGCCTCGGCTCCCCTCCACCCGCCAGTGCTCCAAGAATCTGCCTGCAAGCCCGCTTTCCCACCCAGCCGTCTCAGAGAACGTGCTTCCTCCCTCTTGTTCCGCGTGACCCAGGAGGCAGCTGTGCTCCAATGCACTGACAGCTGAGCGAGCTACGCTCTTTTCTGAACAATAAAGATGTTTCACAATTTATGGCTGAAGGCATCCCCTTAAGGCCCCTTGCATCTCTCTCCCCCGGGAACAAACTCTCGGTCGCACAAAAGGCCACTATGGGGTGAGGGGGCCTCGGAAGCCAGGGCTGGAGTCCCCTGGCTCTGCTCGGCACTGGGCAGACCAGCCAGGGGCCACAGGCCACGTCCCTGAGAGGGAACTGGCAGCGTGACCCTCATCAGCAGGAGACCCAGCACCATTCAGAGCCAACGCGGAGTTCTCCCAGGGATGGAAGCCCAGGTGCCCAGGGTAGACGCCACGGCGGCCTGTGCCAAGGAACCACCGAACGCTGGCCTTGGGCCAAGCACTGCACAATTTTGTGAACGTCTAGAAATGCTGACTGTCCTGAGAGCTGCTAAGGTCGTAAAAAGAAAGGATGACATCTGCCCCATGCCCTGCTGGCTCTCGCCACGCAGAAGTGAGGGCCTCCAGCCGGGGCAGACGGGGCTCTCAGGACGAGGCAGCGTGGGGCAGGGGCACAGTTCTGGAATTGCCAAGAGGCTGGATGATGCCGACCCCCTGGCTGAGTCACCTTGGGGAATCCCTTAGCCTCTCTGAGCTTCAACTTCCGACCCTGGGATGTAAGACCACTCTCACCCTCCTGTGTGGCCTGAGGGGTGAGACCAGAAACCATCATGAGGTCAGAGAGCCCTCCCTAAGCGCTTCATTGGAGGGGCCCGGCAAGGCTGCGAACACCGAAGGGCATGACAAACCCACTGGTCCCATTCGTCACCTACCCTCCAGGGCCAGACACCCGCACAGGAGAGACACCCGCACAGGAGAAAGACACCCGCACAGGAGAAAGACATCCGCACAGGAGAAAGACCATTAGGAAACCCATCTGGCCAGACTCAAAGCCCTCCCGAGGAGATTTTCCACGAAGCAGCCGCGGGCATTTCTCTGGCATGCTCTCCTGTCCTATGGGCCACGTGTCTGATGCCCTGGAGTTAATATCCGGTCCCGGTTTTGTTCAAAGAGCTCTAACATCTTCTGCATGTCGTGGTCAGCCTCAATCACCTGGAAATCAAACACACGGTCACAGCCGGCACTCGCTCCAGCACCCTCCTCCCTTCACAGGTGAAGAGAGAGAGCATGAGGCAGCGGGGGCAGGGGGAGGCAGGCTAAAGCCAACAGCGCCCGTTCTAGGTCAATCTAAATTCTCGGCTCTGTTTTCACTTAAGAATCCTCTATAGTTGTCCCTGCAGCGAGCTCATAAATGAGTTTCTCCTCATCATTTTATCCCGCCTAAATTCCTACAGTGAGGGGAAACTGTACTGTAAAGCCCATTATAGTAATATCTCACTTCCCAGCAACCTCACTGCCCGGGAGAGCCAGGAGTGGAAGTGTCTGAGCAGCCCCAAGGCCAGGCACAGAGTCTGGGCACGGCCCTCGGCAGGTCCACGCTGCACACTCATGCACAGCGGTCTGAGGCACCCAGCGCCTGCCTGCAGAGATTCAGCAGCAGCAAATCAAAAGCCAGGGGACGGAGAAGCAAGGAATCACAGATGGGGAAGACACAGCAATCGAGTTAGAAATGGCGAGTGTCGGAAGGGGAAAGAAGGGTTGCCGTAAAAACAACAACAGGAATCGGAGATATTAGCGAGCTGGGGCACACAGAGCTACACACCTCACGCCTCCTAAAGGCGTCACTGTGCGCCCGCCCCGAAGAGCAGATGATGTTCCTTCGGATGCCCTGAGTCACCAAGGAAAGAGCAGTGAGGCTCCGAGCCTGCCATCCACTGGAGAAGGGACTGTTGCATCAGAAAGACCACCATCCCAAACGGTTAAGGCCAGAACCCGGGTCTGGAGGCTTTCGCCATCTAGAACATTCCTTCGCTGATGATGCTGGATGAGTGAGATGCTACTGTGGCCACTGGTGTAATGACGCTGAGTCAAACCACCCACCTTCTCTCGGGTCTGCCCAAGTCCCTGGGACTCGTCCAGAGTGGGGCCTGGGAGAGTGACAGCGGCCCGCCCACCCTCCCTGCTTCCTTCCTCCACATTCCCGAGCCCTGCAGGACTCGGCCCTCCCCCAGACTGCAGAGGGGCCGCCATTCCCCGGTCTCTCTCCCTTCTAGAAAGGTCTCCCGCCCTATCAGGAGGACTTACCAGAACAGGGGCCACTGCAGGGAAAAGGCTCCCTTTGATGAGCCATTCCTCGTAGAGTTGGTGAATAGCATCCAGGTACTCCTGCCGGGAGACACACACACAGGCTGCTGAAACACGAGGAGCGAGCACACCTCTCCCACCAGGGCCGGGCAGGTAGGGTGAAGGTCACGACCACGGGCAGTGGCTTGGACAAAGCCCACGACAACCAGCCTGGCTCAGTGGACAGTGAAAAACGCAGCTGCTCACTCCGCCCCGCCCGCCCCAGTGCACGCTGCTGGCGCTTTCCACATCCCTCCCCTGGGATTCTCCCATTTACTGCTCCCCCCCCTTTTTTTTAAGAGCAGAGCCACCAGTTCCTTTGGGGGCGGGGATCCAGCCATGCCATGACCAGGCATCCCAGCCCTGGGCAGCCTGAACCTTCCCCTCCCACCAAGAGGAACATGACCCTCACTGGCCTGGGAGCCCCACTCCCACTGCCTTAACCTGCGGATACTCTAGACGTGGGGCGGGGAACCTTTTCCTGCCAAGGGCCATGTGGATATTTATAACACCATGTGGGCCATACATAATTATCAACTTAAAAATTAGCCTGCTCTGTTTGGTCAAGCATCTAATTAACTCACCCCTAATGCCCTGCAGGGCACATGATTTCTCGGGCCTTATCCCGGGCCGGACAGTCCCCGCCCCTGGCCTTAGCCGTGATGAGGGTTTGGGGCTGGGACACTGCACACACAGTGTTCTGCATTGGAAACATCACCCGGCAGCAGTGTGGGGCTGGACTTCAGAGGCAGATGTGGGGAGTGGGGGACCAGGGCAAGGAGAGCAGGTACAACAATCCCAACCAGCCGAAACCGGTTTGGCTCAGTGGATAGAGCATCGGCCTGCCGACTGAAGGGTCCCTGGTCAGATTCTGGTCAAGGGCATGTACCTTGGTTGCGGGCACATCCCCAGTAGGGGGTGTGCAGGAGGCAGCTGATGGATGTTTCTCTCTCATCAATGTTTCTAACTCTCTATCCCTTTCCCTTCTTCTCTGTAAAATTTCAACAAAATATATTTATTAAAAAAAAAAAAAAAAAAAAAAAAAAAAAAGAATTCCAATCAGAGTCATCGTGGCCTTGGGCCAGGCCCAGGAGGTGAGGCAGTTAGCACCACCGCTGAATGTGGCCTCCGAGCCGGCACAGCACTGAGCCCGGGGGATGCAGCAGTGAGCAGGAGGGCATGATCCAAAAGGGACCCAGAGGGCACGGAGGCAAGCTGCCTCCTGGAGGCGGCCCAACAAGCCCGGGTGATGCCTGGGCAGGGGAGGGAGGGTGCCAACCGCTGAGTCTGGACACAGGAAGTGAAGCAGATCTGGACGTGGGGTCTCCAGCCACAGAGGAAGTCAGAGTTCCCCCTCTGATCCGCTCCGTTCCCGTTTCCCTCTCTGTGACAGCAGCACAGGATCGCCCAGCGGGTGGGGCCAGGCCTGGGTGCTGGCGGCTCCCCGTTCACCTCTGTTCAGGTTAAAGGGCTCTTACCACCGGGATGACCTTCTCCTCGTCCCTGCATCTCATCTTTAACCTCTGATAGCAGGTCTCAGGAGTGGTCCGGAGGTAAACTGAGATTTAAAAAGCACACGTGGCTCTAATGACCGTTCATGGCTTGGAAGTGAAAGCCAAGGAGAAGGGGAAGGAAGCGTGTGGGCGAGGCCTGGAGAGAAACATGTGCCAGCATGACTGAGCAGGAGACACAGACCAAGGTCGCTCACAGCTCCACCACCAACCAGCCGTGTGACCCGACAGGCACCCCGGCCCACATCCTGACTTCCATTCCCTGCCAGTGGCAGGAGCCCCACTGGGTCATTGTGAGGCTCAATAAGGCTCCAGACATAGAGCTTAGCACAGGGCCCAGCCAGCCCCAGTGGGCCTCAGTTAATGTCCAGGTTTTGTCATCTCCTCCCTCCCTTAAAAACTGGGGGGTGGGGGGGGGGGGGGAGGGAAAAAAAAAAAAAAGCAAATCACAGTGGACCCGCCAAGCCACAGGGAGAACAGCTTGAGGAACAAAGGCCAGGTGCTTCTCCAGGAGGGACCAGGAGCCCCCCAATTCCGTCTGCCCTTGGACACAAGGCTGAATTGACATGGTGAAAGAAGCATCCAACAAAGTAAGGGTCCCCCACCCCCCCATCCCTGCCCTCACCCCGCCCCCACGGCTGCTGACTGGTTGGAAACCTGGACAAGCTCATCCTCACTGGGCCCAGGGGAGGGAGGCCCAGGAAGGAAGTCAGAACGGGCCTGGGCCGACTCACCTATCAAATCCACGGACACATCGATGTTCCTCACGATCCAGTCAAACCATTCCGACAAAATCACGTAGTCCACTTCGGGCATCTTCCCGCTGCAGTGACGGGGAGGGCTCTGCTTACCCACAGGGGAGTTTCTGGGAGGCGCCATTTCCCAAAAGTGATGGCCTTGGTGGAAAGGGCACTGCCAAGGGCACCATAGTGTGACCCACACGACAAGGGGCGTGTGGTGATGACCAGGACCTTCACACCTCCGGCCTCTGCCCGCTGCCTGGTGACGGCTATGGAATAAGGCAGCCCGAATCGAGGCACTGCCCAATGAGAAACCCATTTCAAATTCGAGCTCCAAGCAGAGAAAGAGGCTCCGAAGCCTGTCCCCTGAGAACAGGGACGGCGCTCGGGTCAGGAGGTGGCACGGCAAGCCAACTTCACCTCTAGAAATTCGTTTTGTGGGACTAATCACGGATGTCCACGTAGCACTGTTTAAAATGTTTCTATGTTTAAAATGATGAAAAACTAACCCTTGGGCCTGGTCGGCGTGGCTCCAGTGGCTGAGCACTGACCTTTGAACCAGGAGGTCACGCCTCAGTTCCCTGTCAGGGCACATGCCCGGGTTACAGGTTTGATCCCCGGTGTGGAGGCGTGTGGGAGGCAGCCGATCGATGATTCTCTCTCATCATGGATGTTTCTATCTCTAACTCTCCCTTCCTCTCTCCGAAATCAATAAAAACATATTTTTTTAAAAAAACTAAACCTTGATACATTTATAGAAGAGAAAACCATGCAGTAACTGAAAGATGATGCTGTAAAATAATATTCAATGGCATTCACATGCTCATAATGGCATGCTCAAAATTCAATGAAAACAGCAGGATACAAAACTGTGCATGACTTGAATAAAGTTTTGAATAGAAGCAAAAACAACAACAACAACAAAAAACTGCACAGGAACCAACCAAATTTTTTAAAGTATTCGTCCACAAAGTTTGAAAAGAGAAACACCAAAATGTTGAGAGTGCTTTTCTCTGACCTGTGGGACTCTGTGAGACTATTTTTTTTCTTTATACTTTGCTGTATTTTCCAAAACTTAACAACAAATTCTCAAATCAAGGGTGGGAGTCGGGGAGGCTGCCACCTGCTTACAGTGCAAACTGAAAAGGAAGGAAGGAAGGAAGGGAAGGAGCTGAGGGGAAGGAAGAAGGAGCCGAGGTGCAGAGACCGGGTCCCCCTGGCTCCTGCGGATGTCCTCCGCCGGAGGAAACAAACAGGAAAGCCGAGAATGGCACAGCTGGGAGAACAGACCTGCCAGCTGGGTGACCCCCCCCCGGCGCAGGGGAGGCATTCCCCTTCTTAACATCCATCTCCGATCCACCCAGAACTGGGCTTGGTGCGAGGAGAGTGGGGGGCCCGAGCTGTGTGCAGTGGGCCCCAAAAGCATGTCAGCCAGTGGCTGCTGTTTTGTCCATTTTGTGGTTTTCCTCCTGGCAACTCTGCCTGCTCCTCCCGTCCTTTTTCTCCCCCCGCCCCCCCAATCTACCTGGACAATGGCGTGCCCAGCGCCCCCCACCACACACACACACAGGCCACCGCTTTGCTCTCCATGGAACACAGATGACAGAGCCTCCACAGAAAATCCAAAGGCCCAACTCACCGGCGGTGAGCTGGGGGCTTTCCTGAGCCTGAGCTTTCCTGAGCTTTCCTGGGCTTTCCTGAGCAAGCGGCACAATGGAGGTCTTGGGTCCCCTTAACTCTGCTGACTGTATTTGTCGAGCACAGCTTGTTGCCACCTTCGCCCTGAGGCCCAGAGAGCCCCCAGTTTACACAGCACAAGTACTTGCATACTTATTTTCTTCTGTTTTCAGAAGGCCACATGAGGCCATTCTCAGATGAGGAGAACAGGTGCAGAGAAGCTCAACTCCGAGCAGGGATCCAGGCCATGCTCTCTGTGGCCCCAAACCCAGTGGCTCTTCGTTGTACCACTCGCCCTCCCTGGTCGGTCCAGAGGGTCTGGTCTGGGTCAGGTCCTCGGGTGTGAGACCCAGACCCAAGTGCCCATGGGAACTACAGGGGGGAGGCGTCAGGGCCAGTCCCCGAGGCAGGAGGACCAGCCTGTTGTTCCAAACTCAGGGTCATTTTGTCGTTAATCCTCACCCGAGAATGTGTTTTCCGTGGATTTTTTTTTTCCCCAGGGGAGAGTGCCAATGCAGTCCCCCACCACCACAAATCATGTTTCCCACACGTGGAGAAGTCACAGGGGTCAGCACATCTGGAGAGCAATGGATAAGCCTCGCCCTGGGAAACCATCTTCCTGATCATGGTACCTCCAGGTAAGTACCCCCATTGATGTTTTAAAGAGAGGAAGGGCGGGGAGAGGGGGAGAAAGAGAGAAACATCCATGTGAGAGACACACACATCTTCCTCTTCGGGGTGTCACACAAGCCCCGGGGGCTAACTGCACTGACATTCTGCCCACCCCTAAGGGGACCTCCCTCCCTAGGAGAACTGCTCACTTGTTTGAGACCCAACAGGCAAGACTACCCTTCGAGAAATTCTGCTTTGAAGGAGGCGGAATTCCAATCCGTGGGCTTTCCTGGGCACCTGAGCCTTCACCCGCAGGCAGCAAGGCCCGGACCCCCAGGTTCCAAGCCAAGGCTGCAGGAGCTTCTGGGAAAGAGAAGATGGACCCCAACGCCAAGGGCAGCGGCCACGAGCTCCTTGCTTGTGAAGGACTGGCCCACACAAGCTCCCAGGTGGGAACCAGGCAGAGGATCCAGCCCAACCCAGTCCTGAGCCACATCGGGACCAGGCTTCCTGGGCGGGGCAGCGGGGGAACAAATGTGTATGAAATTACCAGGGCAGGAAAGCAGCCCCAAAGATTAAACGCTACAGCCTTCCCCTACATCCCCCACAAAGATCATGCACCCTGTGCGGGACTGATTGTTCTGGGCGCTCCAAGTCTCCGCCTCCCTAGATGCTCCCACTTCGCCACATGACGCCCCAAGGCCCTCCCACCTCTCAGGCTGGGTCAGCCATGGGAGTGTTAGCAAATGTGAAGCTGAGGCCGGAAAAAGCAGTCATGCCTTTCAGCAGTGCTGCTGCCCCCACCACGAGGAATGAATGCCCAGGGTCCTTGCTGGTCCCAGAAGGAGGACGAGAGGCAAGAGAAAGAGAGATGAGTCACCTCCTCACCCTTCCCAGGGCTATCCTAGACCAGCCACTCCCCACACATATCAGGGAGTCCAGCCAAGGTCTGGACTGGCCGACCACCCCATGTGACTGCGCAGTGAGTGTAGACAGCTGCCTGCCACTGAGGTTTTGTGGTTATTCATTACACGGCATTACCATGGCAATAGAGAACTGATACAGCACAGGAGGTACTCAACATCTGTCATTTGGGTAAACAAGTTCCAATTTCATTTTGAACAAATGAATGCAATATCAATAGTGCAAACTATGATACCTTCTATACAGGTTTTCTACAAAAATGTATCTTGCGCTGTGAATCGACCGCTCCATTAACCGTACAGGCGACGTCTAAAACAAAACAAAAAGTGATTCACTAACGCACGCAAAGAGGAGGAGGCCAGGAAGGCTTGGAGAATGCCTGTGCTCCCCCTGACTGTGGTCCGTTGCTGAACATAAGAATGGAGAAGCTCACACAGGCTCAGCTGTGCTCCTCCCTCAGCCTGCACCCTCCCCAGACCAGGAAGCTCAGTGGCCGGAGCACAATGCCGGGGCCAGGGCTGGTCAGCAGCAGCCTCTAACACAGGAGTGGAGAGCCTGCCGGGACTGTGGGTTTAGGGAAGTGCTAGAAAAACTGCCAAGTGCTGGTCAGCAAAGCGGTGTGAGTGCAAAGTGCGGGGTTACTACGGACCTAAATGGGGTGCCTTTGCTTACGCAGAGGGATCTGAATGCCTAAGACAGAGAGAGCCCAGAAAGGGTTCCGGTGACATTATGGGGACTGTGCCAGCAGTGCTTCAGGGGCCTGCAATTTCTCCCCTTCCCCCCAGGGCTGTGTGGAGGCCACTGCAGCTTTGGAAGCAGGGAAGGACTGTGCCCAGCAGGAAGGAGGGCGCACTGACTGCCCGTCCAGGGCAGGTTGCTCACACTGTCCCCAGGTGGCCCTTCCCTTTGTCCACAGTGTCCCACAGGGAAGCGGGGAGAGCCCTCACCCTTGACACCAAGTGGGCAAACACTGCTGTCACTCAGATGGTACTCACGCACCCACAGCGCCGACGGGACCTGACCCAGCAGATCAGGGTGGGACTCGAAACCATGACCCAGGGATTTCCTAACTCCCTCCTCCTGTGCATCTATCTGTCCGTCTTCCCTGCCTTTTTCCATCCTCTCCTTCCTTATCACTCTCCATACCACCTTCTGCTAGTTCCCATCGCACCCATCTCTCTTCCTGTTCGTCTGACCCAGGCCTCCTCCGTGGTGTGTCCCGTTATATTCACATTTGACAGATACGTTTCAGGTTTCCTGACTACCACTCAGGAAAGTGGGGTGAGCAAAGGGAAAAGTGCCAACTGCAGAGCCTCCAACCTGCATCATTTAGACACACATTTGGGGGGATAGAAATTCAAACCGTTCTGCTCATTATCTACACGGATTTGTAGAAGATCGATAGCTATAGCTGCAAGTGCCCAAGCCTCGATCAAACCGCCCAGCCAAGTGGCTGCACCTGTGTAACTGGCCGTAGGGCTCTCCTCCTGGGAGAGGACCAAAGCCGCTAGGACATAACACAATGTGTGTTATGTCCTCCTGGGAGAGGACCAAAGCCGCTCTTTTCGGCTGTACTTGCAATTTTGAACCACACACGCCAATCAGGATCTCCTCAGCCAGCCTTGCTGCTAGGAGACTCTGCCCCATTCGCATCCCTGCTGATGGAAGAGGCCCAAGAAGCCTGTTTGCGTGCCATGACTTTCCCAACACCTGATTGGCCCAGGGTTGGGCACCTGACCCTAGCTGAGCCAATCAGATTTTTTTGTTCTCAAGAATTTGAACCAAGAGCCAGACCTTGTTAAGTTTAGAGAGTGGGTCTCAAACATGCAAACAAACAAAGCATGCATTGAAATCACCCAGAGAACTTGATAAAACACAGATTGCTGGGCCTCATCTCCAGAACTTCTCACTTAGCAGGTCCAGGACGGGGCCAGAAAAATGTGCTGCTGCTCCTGGTCCAGGGACCACACCTTGAGAGGAACTGAGTTACATGGTGGGGAGCCCAGTCATGGTAGGGTCATGAAGACTCAGGCTCACAGTATTAGCAGAGCAACTTCTTGACTAGCTGGGGCTGCTAGGGTGGGGGAGGGGGAGGGGAGGCGGTCCTCAGCAGCAGAACAGAGACCTTGGCCCAAGACAGAGAAGGCTGAGCAGCACTGAAGGCCCAGGAGTGAGGCCTCCTTGCGAGGGTTCCGCTCCTGGCGATCACAGAGCCCTCATCAGAAGACAGTGTTACAAGGGCTGAGCCCACGCATGTGAAGGTACCTGCGGACGAGTGTGCTGGTCCAGCATGGTGAGCTGCACGTATGTCTGCAGCGTGAGGCCCCATCGGCAGGCATCCCGGTACATCAGACCCTGCAGAAGGAAGAACACAGCAACTTACCTCAACGTGCTCTACCTACGGGACTCCGATAGCCATCTAGTAATACCTACTACGTGGGCTGAAGTGGGGCCAGACAGACCCTGGAGTACTTACAAGACAGCCCAGCAACAGCACTAAGGGAGCCTATATGAAGTCCCCAGGGAGCGTTCATGCAGTCATTCAACAATGTTCATTGGGCCCCTGGAGTCTATCCTAGTCTTTCATGTTCCATATGCCACTTACAAATAGTCTTACTCTTCCACGTCTGTTCGTTTGTTTTCTTGGCGTAAACTAATAAAACTCCAACTCTGCATTCAGAACTGCAGGCTTCTATGAGCCAGGAGGTCACCTTTTGGTTCCGGTCAGGGCACACGGCTAGGTTACAAGCTTGATCCCCAGTAGGGGGCATGCAAGAGGTGGCCAATCAATGATTCTCTCATCATATCTCTCTCTCTTTCTCTCTCTCTCTCTCTCTCTCTCTCTCCCTCCCTCCCTCCCTCCCTCCCTCCCTCCTTCCCTGAAACCAATAAAAATATATTTGTAAAAGAAAAAAGAAAGAAAACCACAGGCTCCTAACTTCAGGTAAAAGAAAATCTCGGAAAGGTTAGGAGAAGCAATCCCTCTTGTCTGACGGCTGCAGAAACAAAAACCTTCTGTATTAGAAAGCCAATTCAAAGAGTGATGGACTGAGACTTTTCACAAAACTACCAATCTTGACCTTCCCCCTAGAGTAGAAACTTATGCAAAAATATCTAATTCTATTATATTTATTATTACAAAACTGTCATTGGAAATGCTCTTTGAACCAAGGACACTCCGAGTTTTGAGACTGGGATTGTGCACTATGAAATATCACCATAATCCCTCAAGTCTGCAACTCTAGTTGTCTTAATAACCCAGCCCTGGATCCTCTGGTTTCCTAGAGAATGATAATGTTTCTGAGGCTTTTCTGTGATGCTCAGAGAGACTGGCATTCTGTCTTCTCCCACATGCACAGCGGTGAAGTCTGTTCATGTCTCTGGGATTCTTTATTCAGAGACTCTGAGAGTTTCTGCCTTATTTAAATAACATCCTTTTACCTGCTTTGGATTGCTTCATAGCTCCAACCACTACCCGCCACATCATACATTTAACTGTCTTCTGCCTCCCCACACCAGTATATTAGGGCCAGGAGAGTAGGTACAGGCAACAACTAGTGGTTGGATGAATAACAGAACAAGCTCCTACTAAGTGCTCAGCAGTGTGTTATGTCCTAGCAAACAACAGTGAGCCAAAACAGACATAGTCCCTGCCCCCAGTGGAACTCAAGAATCTAAGAACCATACCAGGAAAGCCCAACTGTGTTGCTAGAAATGAGGAGACTATAGAGGCTCCCTCTAGACTAGGGGTGTCGAACTCAATCAGAGAAGGGGCCAAAATCTAAAATCCAGCCTAAATCGCGGGCCGAATGGTTTACTGAACAGTCATAAACTGTCATTGTGATGGAAACGCAGCGGAGTGCAGTGATGACAGCGCGGTGCGGGCCACATTGCAAGGCCTGGCGGGACGGATTTGGCCCGCGGGCCTTGTGTTTGACACATGTGCTCTAGACCAAGGTTGAAAGTAGATCTATCATTTACCAGTGCGTGACCTTGGGCAATGCATTTCAGTTAGTTTCCTTCCCTGAACAAGGAAGCTGGTCATCCCTACAGGATGGGGCAGGCTCCCAGACCAGAAGCCCTTTCTTAAGCTCCCTCTTGCAGGACAAGACTCCAGCCTTCCCGTTCACGCAGAGCAGAGCAGAGCCTACCGAATGGGGAAAGAGAACAAGGGGCACAAGCACACTAGAGGCCCTGCTTGCTAGGTCCAGCCTTGGGAAAGCAGACAGGAAGCCTCGGGGTGAGCCTGAGGCAGCCCCGGGACATTGCCAAGTGCAAATGCAAACCAGAGGTTTACTAAGGAAGCTGGTTAGAGGTGATGGGTCCTGAGGAGGCTAGGCCTGAAGAGACCTGGTTTCTCATGGGCTTCTTCTCGGAGAGGGTGGGAGAAGGAACAGCAGGAGGCAGGCCCCTGGGTAACCAAGGCTAACCACCTGAGATCATCTGGGATCACTGACAAGGGGTCCCTGGGCTCTGCACCTGCCCAGCCCCGTCTCCAAGATCCCTGAGCTCCGAACACCCACATGCAGCCACCTTCCGTTTGTCTCCTCCTCCTCCGTCTCCAACCCGGCCGATGGGCAGGGGGCACGCTCAGGCACCGCCATTCACTCAGGAAGAAGCTGGTGGTGCAGGCGGAACAACACACTCACCAGAGGGTTATGGCCACGGACACTCCTCCACTTGGACACAGGCTCCGGAAACACCTGCGGGGAAAGAAAGCATCAAAGGGCTGCTGCTCCTCCGGGCTGAAATGAAACCATGTAAGTGTTGGGGTAGACAAAATGAAGATCTGGGCATCCAGGTTGAGCAACCCTCTGTGCGAGGCCATAACTCAGTCTAAGCATACCTTCCTCACGTGACTTCCAGATACGGCTCAGACAACACTATCCACCCCTGCACACAAGGGTAGGCGCACGGCACCTCTGGCGGCCTTGGAGCTCCCTCAATCCCTCTGTGTGCTCCATCCCAGTCCGCACTGCTGGCCTGTCCGGCTGGCAGAGGTGAGAGAAGCTACTTCAGGCACTCGGGCTGCGAATCGAAGCCCAACTTCCAACGAGGGAACTCTCCCGTGACCCTGGCCACTTGCTCTGCCTCCATTTCCTCCCTCTGATCTCTGCACTGAGCGCACTGATAGCTAAGAATCTTGTTTCTTCATAGGACAACGCCCCATCACTGAGAAAAGGAAAGGAGGAAAGCAGATGACCCTAACATTTGAAAACTATAGGGTCTGCAGTAAAGGGAGAAAAAAAAAAAAAAAGCCATACACAGACTATTACACCACTAAAATCTACAAGGAACAAGGGTCAGGTCAGGGTCTCGGGGTAGAGATTATTCTTAGTGACTGAGCTGTAAATAAACTAGAAATTGTGTTAGCTGGCTATGCATGGTAATACTCCTGCATACTCACATACACTGTAACATCCCAGCCATGCTTAACAGTTTGCCTTCCTTCACATGTAAACTTTTCCTAACCAGACTGTGGGGAGCCCTGTACCCGCGCTGTCCAGTACAGTGGCCGTGAGCCAATGTAGTTATTAAAAAGTTGGAATGGGTCCAGCCAGTGTGGCTCAGCAGTTGAGCATCAACCCAGGAACCAAAAGGTCACTGGTTCAGTTCCTGGTCAGCACGCATGCCCAAGTTGAGGCTCAGCCCCAGGAGGAGGTGTACAGGAGGCAGCCGATCGATGATGTTCCTCTCTTTATTGATGTTTCTATCTCTCTATCCCTCTTCTGTCCTCTCTCTAAAAATCAATCAAAACATATTTTAAGAGGAAAAAGTTCGGATGGGTTAGTTCAAATTGGGATATGCTAGAAATATGAAATACATTCCAGACTTCAAAGACTTAGTATGAAAGGTAAAATGCAAAATAGCTCATTGATGATTTTTATACTGATTATCTGTTGGTGTGACAACATCTGGGATATATAATATTAAATAAAATATTCTTTTTGGGGTTTTTTTTGTGTGTGTGTGTGTTTTTTTTTAGCAAGGCTATTAGGAATTGTACATTCTACATGTGGCCTGCATTTGTGGCTCGCATTATATCCTACTGAGCAGGGCTGCTCCACCGCCTATAAATTACTCTGTCAAGCTCAGGAACCTGCCGTGGAGGCCGTACCTCGATGTCTGTCGTGTTGGCGAAGAACTCCAGGCACGTCGTCTTCCCGCTGGCTATATTGCCCTCGACACACACCTGGCAAAAGACAGATGCCTGTTAGAACCAGAAGTCAAGCCCCTGGGAGAACAGCGGGGAGAATTTCTGCAGAGGGGCTCAGGTAAGCAGCATAGTTGGTTTAGGCCAAGACAGTCTTCTGGTACGCAGCTAGTGCTCTAACCACTGAGAAACACCAGCCAGGGCTCATTGTTGTTTTTTTCTAGGAAACAACTTTTCTTCTTCCTAAATATTTAAAAAGAGCTCAACCAAACGTCAATCTATACAGACGTTATTTCTTTCTACAAAGAACATGTTGTTCAGATGAAACTTTCTTCTAAAAAGACTTGTTCTACCTCCCACCACAAAATCCTAAAAGTTGGTCAACCTAAGGCCTTTGATTAATAACAGGGCACGCAGGCATGAAGAATCCCAGAAAGTTCTTCTGTCACGAAGGAAAGAAAGAGGAACCAAGCAAAGGAAGTGTTTAATTTTTCTTAAAAGTCATATCTAAAAATACTATAGGAAAGCATGCCTGTTGAAGAAAATAGAAAAACTTCATAAAAGAGAAAAATACCGTCTACACTCCACTACTGAGAGATGAACATCATTGCATTTCAGCATGCTTCAGGCCTGGGTGCGCTTCTACACACGTTTCTCATCTTTGAGAGTCTTTCAACTGCTCACGGAAAGCCTACTATGTGCCAAGCTGTTGGCTCAGGAGCCAGTCCCAGCACCCACACAGCACACAGTGAGTGTGAAGATGGAAGGAAAGTCGCAGGAGATTAAGAGAGATTACAAGAACAGATGTTTGCCATGCTGGGGGAGGATGTGGCCAGCCTGGCCCTCCTCTCTTTCATGTGCCAAAGTGTACATGTTCCTTGTCAAATTTCAACTTCCTGTGGTTACCATTAACACTGCATTGCACACCTAGCCTAAATTTTTATTTTTTTATTTTTTAATATCGATATATATTTTTTAATTGATTTTTTACAGAGAGGAAGAGAGAGGGATAGAGAGTTAGAAACATCGATGAGAGAGAAACATCGATCAGCTGCCTCCTGCACACTCCCTACTGGGTATGTGCCCGCAACCAACGTAAATGCCCTTGACCGGAATCGAACCTGGGACCTTTCAGTCTGCAGGCCGACGCTTTATCCACTGAGCCAAACCGGTTTTGGCGATAGCCTAATTTTTAAATAACAACATTTAATCTTTCCTGAATAGAAGGTAAGCAATCTTGCAGTATGAAATACTGAGAACCAAAAGGAGAAAATAAAAATCACTCATGCTTCCAGAGATAACGGCCATTCCGATGTCTAATCAGAACCAAGCTCTCCAGAGGCAAACAGGCTAGGGCTAGAGCCTCCAAGCCCCCACCGGCACCAAAAGACCCTGAGAAATAGGCAGTGAAAAGGAAACCTGCCCAAATGTCCAACCACTGGTAAATAGATACAGTGCGGTACATCCACACCATCGGATACTATTTGGCAACAAAAAGGAAGTAGTGATACAGGCTACAAGGTGGATGTGCCTCAAAACAAGCGAAGTGAAAGAAGGGAGACCCACAAGACTGAATGCTACATGATTCCCTTTTATCAGAAACTAGTGAGCAGGTGCACAGATTCAGGCACATTGAAAGGAAATTAATTTGAAGGTGGCCGGCTGAGCCGATGGGGCAAAACGGGCTGGACACGCCCTGGCGTTAACCTCCCTCAGTCCACTCCCCAGCATCTTGAGAGTGAGGTCCCTCAACCTGGCCTGCAAGGATCAGGCCCAAAACCGGCTCTCCGACATCCCCCAAGGGGTCCCAGAGCACAAGGGGGCACTCTGCAAAGTTGCTGTCAGAGTGTGGAACGCAAATGCCAGTAAACCAGATTTGGGCCGACATAACCCACAGCTGAAGTTGGAATCGGGCTCCCTCCTCTCTGGTTTTGGGGTGCGTCACCCGAGAAATGCAGCCTGTCCCCTGGTGGTCAGTGCGTGTCATAGAGACTGGTCGGATTATTAGACTCAGCTTATTAGACTTTTATACATATAGATATATAGATTATATAGATGTTCAGAAAAGCAAATCTGCCGAAACCAGTTTGGCTCAGTGGATAGAGCATCGGCTTGCGGACTGGGGGGTGTCAGGTTCGATTCTAATCAAGGGCATGTGCATTGGTTGCGGGCATATCCACAGTGGGGAGAGTGTGCAGGAGGCAGCTGATCGATGATTCTCTCTCATCGATGTTTCTGACTCTCTATCCCTTTCTTCCTCTCTGTGAAAAATCAATAAAATGTATTATAAAAAAAGAAAAGAAAAGAAAATCCACAGAGGAAGTAGGTTAATGGTTGCCTAAGGCTGGGGGAGTGACTTTGAATGGGCAAGAAGTTTCTTTTCCTAATGATAGAAATATTCTAAAATTAGTGAGTTAATGTTGCACAACTGTAAATTTACTAAAATTCACTTAAAATGGGTGAATTTGGGGGTATGTAAATTAAACTCACTACAGCTATGTTGCTGTGTGTGTTTTTTTTTAAAGGAACCCTGTCAAATAACTAAGTGAATTAACAGTCAAATAACTAAGGGAAGACTCCTTACCCCCAAAATTCTCTCTCCCTCTCATTCAAACCCACTGTTAACGCTCCCCAATTCTGCCTTAACCAGACTGACCATTCTACAATACTTTGTAATACCTCTTTCTGGGGGGTTTTCCAATGGAAGGTTTATATATTATTTCATTTTATTCCTGCATCATAGATTTTTATCCTTGATTTTTTTTTTTCATCTCTTACATAATGAGTACCTTTCCAGGTCATTAAATATTTTTCAAAAACACGATTCTGAATGGGTGGATAATATTTTATCATATCAGCTGGGGAGGGAAACCCAGGAATGGAGCCAGACCTCCCTCTGATCTCTGGAGATCCTCTGGCATTTCTGTTTTTTTACTGTGTGTCTACCCCTTCACTCCCCTCCACACAAATTATGTCCATGGAGAGTGCACACAAAAGAGGGACTTACCACTGACTTTTTCTCTTTCTCGTTTTCTTTATCTACAAAAGAAAGGAAATCCGTCTTTAAGCTTAGTTGTCAATAATGCACTCTCCTTTGACCTAGTTTGCTAAACCACCCCAAAACAGAACTTTTTTTTACGCTTGCTCCCTGGCCTCAAAGTGTTTTTCCAATGACACCTGGGGCCTCCATGGCCGGAGGGAGGCAGACCCACTGCACCTGTCTACCTGTGTGACACTGTGCCCCTGCCACCTGGGGCCTGCTGGCAGCCCTGCGCCCCAACCGTGCCAGCGTTTTCACTTAAGTTATAATATCTGGCTTTCCCTTTTCCACACATTTAATATCGCTGATGCTCACAGCTGGTGTCCAGTGAATGAAACACAGAGTGGGCACAGGTGAGAGTTGGCCTTGGCCTTGGCCATGGGTCTCAGGTTTCTCTTCTAAGCCCGGGGCTAGTATCGAGGCCACCCCACGCCCTCACAGGTGGATCTGGGGGGCCACCCAACAGCCGGAGGCCCAGGGAGGCCCAGGAAGCCTGGCCGTTAGCAGTGATCCCTGCATTCGTGGGGGGCTGGCTGCCTATCTGCAGCTCCCAGCCTCCGCCACCGGGAGTGGGGTTCTTTCTCCTCTTTCGAGGGCTCCCCAACTCCGCACCAGAGACCTGGCCGCGCGCCCCTCGGACGCATCCGCTCGCAGCCGGCCGGCTGGCGCCCGGGGGCGTGTGCCAGGGGCTGCCCCGCCCCTTCCCCCCGCAGGCGCCCGGAGTAGGAACCCCCGCGCCTCTAACAGGGAGTTTGGGGTTCAGTTGGGTCCCCGCAACCCGAGGGAGGGAGGGGACTGGGGCGGCCTCCGCTGGACGCTAAGACGTGGCACCCAGAGACGCGTTACCCCGAGGCCAGGCCCGGCGCTGTGCTCCCCGCTGCCCCGGGCTCCGGGCGGGCTTCCCGGGCCCCTCCGGGCGCAGCGCCCGGCAGACCCAGCCCCGCAGCGGCCGCAGGAGCATGGCCCGGCGGGCGGGCGGGTCCGGAGGCCGCGCTTCCTTCCGGTGCGGCGGCGGCGGCGCGCGCAGCCTCCCTCCCGCGCCGGCTCGGCGGGGCGCCAGCTGGGGCCCGGCCCTTAAAGAGACCCCGCCCCATTTCCCCGCCTCCGCCGGCGAGAGCCATCCGCGGCGGGGAGGTCGCTGTTTGCAGACAGAGAATAAATAAATCTTCGCGCTCAGTGGACGCTGGCGGGCTGCAGCCGTGGCTTGGCAAGCCTGGAGGATGGGCGGCCAATAATACCAGCCACTCACTGGTTAACGATGATCGGGGAATCACATGACCAAGCGCCTGTGCCAGGCAGGCGCGTGGCACACACGTGGCACACACTCACCATGTCAGTTATTCGTCCCAAGAATCCTGCAAATGGCTGTTGTCGCTCCCATTTCCCTAGCTGAGCTGATCTTTGGAAACTTAGGCACCTTGTTTAAATGATCATGAACATGCATCACCGAGTGGAGGTGGAATGCAAGCCCATCTATGCTGTTTCACAGCCTGCACACGCTCTCCTCTGAACTCTTGGCATATCCAGAGTCTGGATTGAAAATGCACTAGATCCCTCAGGAAGGTGTTTAAATAAAAAAAATAAAAAAAAACAAACACACACACACACACACACACACACACACACAAGACAACCACAAAGAGTCCTAAAATTTGTATGGAACTGCAAAAAAAAAAAAAAAAAAAAAAAAAACCTCAGAATAGCCAAAGCAAACTAGAGAAAGAACAAAACTCTCTGATTTCAAACTATACTACAAAGCTATGGTAATCAAAACTGTGGTGCTGGCATGAAAACAGACACATAGATCAATGGAAAAGAAGAGAGAGCCCAGAAATAAACCCATGCATATGTGGTCAATTAATCTATGACAAAGGAGGCAAGAATATAAAATGGGGAAAGACAGTCTCTTCAATATCAGGGAAATGCACATCAAAAGCACAATGAGATACCACCTCACACCTGTCAGGATGGACTACTGTCAAAAACACAACAAATAACAAGTGTTGGTGAGGATGTGGAGAAAAGGAAACCTTTGTCTATCACTGGTGGGAATAGTTCAAGCCCACATTGTGCTTCCTGTAGTATATGCCACAGACCTCGCACAGGGCAAGGCCGTGTCCTCCATAAGCACACTCTCTCCTCTGAACGCTTGACAATGGGATCCTGCAGGGAGAGAAGCAGACTGGCAGGTCCTTGCTTTTGTGCAACTTATATTATTAAGCCCAGAACCTAACAGGGGCCCTCCTGGTTCATAGGTCTATGCACAACCACTGAGCCACACCTGCCACAGTCTATACCCCGTGTGGTTCATGCAGCAGGCAGCCGATTAATGACTCCCTCCCATCAATGATGTTTCTCTCTCCCTTCCTCTCTGAAATCAATAAAAATATTCTTTTTAAAAATATATATTTCATTGATTTTTTTTACAGAGAGGAAGAGAGAGGAATAGAGAGTTAGAAACCGATGAGAGAGAAACATCGATCAGCTGCCTCCTGCACATCCCCCATTGGGGATGTGCCCGCAACCAAGGTACATGCCCTTGACCGGAATCGAACCCGGGACCCTTGAGTCCACAGGCCGACGCTCTATCCACTGAGCCAAACCGGTTTCGATAATAAGAAATATTCTTTAAAGATATCTACAATATCAGCTGATGATAAACGCTATGAGGAGAGGGTAACGGTGGCTACTCCAGACGATGGCATTTGTGAAGTCCGGGGTATGGGGTGGCAGGACACACATTCCTGGACCCCCTTCCTTGCCTGCCCACCATCCCCCTGTGGAGAGCTGGGAAGCGGTTGCCTTTGGTGCTCCCAGGGGCCTGGCCAGCAGTGGCTCATTTTGCAAAAAATGCAGCTTGCCAGGGAACAGGCTAGGGCGCATGCGCAGTAGTGTGGGCTGTGCAGGCGCGTGAGAGCAGAAAGGGGACCCCCTCGCCTGGAGGTGGGGGAGGGGGGTGCGAGGAGGCTGCTGCCGTTGCGGGTCCCCGCAGGAGGCCCCCCCGTGAAGGGCGGTGGGGGGTGCTGAAGGGCCAGGGCTGCTGCTGCCGGGCCTGCGGGCACCATGAACCCGAAGCAACGCCCTTTCTGTTGTAGCGTGAAGGGCAATGTGAAGCTGGTGCGACTGGTGAGGGCTGCGGGCGGAGGGAGGGCGGTGTGCACGGTGCTCAGGGCGGCGCGATGGGTGGAGAGCAGGAAGTAGAATGCCCTGTCTTCCCTTCTAACCTGGTCTGGATCCAGGCCGCCCCAGAGGCCAGGCATCCCAGAGGAAGGAGAGAGAGAAGGCACTGTCCTCCCCCTGGGGGCTTTCCACACTCAAAGTTAGCCTGGAGGCCCTACAGTGGGACCCCAAACCAGGTCCCCAGGTCCCCAGAGGAGGCAGCTGCCCGGGGGCCAGTCAGAAGCCAGCGAGATAAGACTCAGGGGGTTGGGTGGGTGCTGTTTGTTTACTGTCCGTCAGAAGTTGGATGGGACCCAGCTCAGGGCTCCTTCAGCCCAGAGCCTGGGGTGTGGGGCCCGCAGGAGCTTGTCAGTTCTGAACAGACATTCGGAGAGAATGAATCATCCTGTGGAGGAAGGCGGCCGGGCCAGTTAGAGAAGCGGAAACTGCCATAGGAGACCATGCGTTAGGAGTTCCAGAAAAAGAGGGAAGGGGGGAAATTTTTAATTTTAAAGAAGTGACATGGCGTGGAAGTAGTCCAGAGTTACAGGGAAACAGTTCTGCTGACGACGAGGAAGAATTTTATATCAGGAAGGTAGTGCATTCCCAGAAAGCAAAGGCAACAGGCACAGATAAGCATTTGGGCGAGTTATGTTTTAGTAAACAACAGTGAGCTATAGTGAATGTTGTAAATAGCCAAATAAATGATTTCGGCCATATACACACATCCATGCATTTTAGTCTTGCCTTTTATTTATTTTTTAATGTATTTTATTGATTTTTTTTACAGAGAGGAAGGGAGAGGAAGAGAAAGGTAGAAACATCAATGAAAGCCGAAGCCAGTTTGGCTCAGTGGTAGAGCGTTAGCCTGCGAACTGAAAGGTCCCAGGTTCGATTCCGGTCAAGGGCATGTACATTGGTTGCAGGCACATCCCCGGTAGGGGGTGTGCAAGAGGCAGCTGGTCGATGTTTCTAGCTCTCTATATCTCTCCCTTCCTCTCTGTAAAAAATCAATAAAATATATTTTTTTTAAAAAAAAAAAGGTCTCAGGTTCAATTGTCAGGGGCATGTATGTTGGTTGCGGGCACATCCCCAGTAGGGTGTGTGCAAGAGGCAGCTGGTCGATGTTTCTCTCTCATCGATGTTTCTAGCTCTCTATCTCTCTCCCTTCCTCTCTGTAAAAAATCAATAAAATATATTTTTAAAAAAAAGAGAAAAAAAGAAACATCAATGAGAGAGAAACATCCATCAGCTGCCTCCTGCACACCCCCTCCTGGGGATGTGCCCGCAACCAAGGTACATGCCCCTTATGGGATTCAAACCGGGGACCCTTGAGTCCCAGGCTCTATCCACTGAGCCAAACTGAGCCCACGCTCTATCCACTGAGCCAAACCAGTGAGGGCTAGTCGTGCCTTTTAGATGTGTGTATGGCAGAAACTGGTTTATTTAGGTATTTTTTTTTTTAGAAATGATCCCTTTAACAGCGTACACTTGTGTTCAATAACCACTGATAAACCATGTCTGTGCTTTCTCCCTACAGGTGCTAACTGCGACATCTATGACCTTTTTTATCCTCTCACAAGACCCTGAGCCATACATTGTTATCACTGGATTTGAAGTCACCATTACTTTCGCTTTCATAGTTTTATATATGATCAGACTTGACCGCAGAGTTACCTTTTTATGTTGGCCTTTGCTTGTAAGTGTTCCGTTTCATTGTTAATCTTAACTACTTTTTCCTGCTATAGTGAGACATTTTAATAAACTCCATTCTTTCGTTCTCTTAAGCCTGTAAGGAAATCTCCGATACACTTAGGAAGGAGAAACGCTACCCGCTGCTAAGGTGTTCTGTATTGTCCCTGGGGGGCGGGGAGGGATCCTCAGGGAACTAGGGGAGTCACAGCACATAAATTCCCCTTTGAACTCCGTCTGAATTGTGTAAATTTAGGTCACGGTCAAATCTAGAACATTCTTAATCTTTTTTAAATATATATATTTTATTGATTTTTTTACATAGAGGAAGGGAGAGGGACAAAGAGTTAGAAACATCAATGAGAGAGAAACATCCATCATCTGCCTCCTGCACACCCCCTCCTGGAGATGTGCCTGCAACCAAGGTACATGCCCTTGACCGGAATCGAACCCAGGACCCTTCAGTCCTCAGGCCGAGGCTCTATCCACTGAACCAAACCGGTTTCAGCTCGGCACATTCTTAATCTTCATCTTCCTTTTAAATGCATGCTGCTTTGTCCTCAAAATTGGGGGGGGGGGTGGGGGGGGGGAGTTAAGATGGAGGGAAAGACACAGTGTCTATATCATACACATTCCTGATCACTAAATGGAAAATCAAAATAATTTGGGAGGCTCAATAAATCACAAAATTATCTTACTTTAAAAGTCTGCGGTCATGAACGCATCTTGTAGAGCATATAAGGTGTATATGGCCCTGCAGTCTGGTATAAGCTGGATCTAGGAGAAAAGGAATGACTTCAACTCTGCCTCCTCTCTCAAGTCTTATCCCCAGCATCCTATCTCCAAAGGCCTCCCTCCCAAGACCCTCTGCTGCGCCTGTCTCCTTCTCCTGTGACCTCCAAGCTGATAACCCCTATTTTGAAAAGAGGATTTGAGAGCTATTCTCAAACCAGAAGCATGCCTTAATGTGGTACCTCCTGAAACCACCTTCCAAGGCCAATGATGATCATTTCAGGCTCATCACAAGCTGAGAAACCCCAAAAGGGTAAATATTGGGACTAGATAGGACCTTCTCAGGATCCCTCCAAACTCCTCCTTCATCCTCCGTCATCAAGACCCTCCTCCATCGGACCTGTCTCGAGGGAGGCCTAGGAGAAGAGATTAAAAGCCTTCATCCGCCAAAACCGGTTTGGCTCAGTGGTAGAGTGTCGGTCTGTGGACTGAAAGGTCCCAGGTTCGATTCCGGCCAAGGGCATGTACGTTGGTTGCGGGCACATCTCCAGCAGGGTGTGTGCAAGAGGCAGCTGGTCAATGTTTCTCTCTCATTGACATTTCTAGCTCTCTATCTCTCTCCCTTCCTCTCTGTAAAATATCAATAAAACATATTTTTTTAAAAGCCTTCATCTGTGGGTCCTCAGAGTACATAACATCACCTAGTGGCAGAAAGGCCCACGCTAAATGATCCCAAGGATTTCTTCAAGGAGACGATGACCTGATCCACATCCTTTTACTCTTGTGCTCGAAAAGCTGGATAGCCGCTCTTCATAGTCAATTTTTCCAGGGTTATTAAAACTTAACAGATGTTAGCATTTATTTTCCCCCAAACTAATAATTCTCTGGATCTTCTTCCAGGTAATAAACGCGGAGCCCTACGTTGAACAGAATGCACCAAGGGGGAGAGTAGACTGTGTGTAGCTTACTGAAAGTGGTCTCTCAGTCTCTGAGGATCACACTTTTGCTGACACTGTAATCTCTTCAAAATGGCGCTATATGGCCAACTAAGTTATGACTCCATTATGATACCCAGACTCCTCTCTGCTCTTTTTTTTTAATATGTTTTATTGATTTTTTTTACAGAGAGAAAGAGAGAGGGATAGAGAGTTAGAAACATCGATGAGAGAGAATCATCAATCAGCTGCCTCTTGCACACCCCCTCCTGGGGATGTGCCCGCAACCAAGGTACATGCCCTTGACTGGAATCAAACCCGGGACCTTTCAGTCCGCAGTCCGACGCTCTATCCATTGAGCCAAACCGGTTTCGGCTAGAGCTGCAGCTTTGAGAGTCATCAGCTCGGAGACTGGCCTACACGGCTCAGAGAGGGTAAAGGAAACTGAAGGCAAAACTGGGGTGAGAGAGAGAAAGGAGTGACCAGAGGAAGACCAGAGAGGACCCTAGGGAGAGCCCCAAGTCCGGGGGCAGGTGCACCCTTCCTTGTCCTGTGGTGCTCAGCAGGATCTAGAACAGGAAAGGCTTTTTCTGCAAAGCCTTTCCTACACACATGCCTACGTCACTCACAGGAAGCAGGCTGCCTGAGAAGCAGAGGTGGTCTATGGCCTTGAAGCAGAACAATATGTCTACTCCTCGGGGCACTGACCTGGGACAGTGACCTGGGGCAGGTGGTCATAGGATCTCCTGCAAATGATAAGTTCTTTCCACCTAATCCTGACCTGTCCCCATGGACCCCCTTTCTTCCCTATTTTCTTTTGAATCACCACTACTTTCCTGAGCTACTGGGGTTTTGAAGTTTGATATTTCTGCATTGATTCCTTCCTGTCTCTAGTTGCCTGTAAGCATGCATAAACGATCCCAGAACAAAGACAACCTGCCTTGCCCACACTATCCTCCCTTCAAAATGTAAGCTGCACCCCATACAGCCACAGTTCAGAAGGAAAATGCTTCAAGAAATCGTGATTGAGCTTGCACATCCTCAGAAATGACAGCATAATTGGCCAATCATTGCACAGAGATTACCACTTCCTGGAAATTACCACTTTCTCCTAAGAGTGCACTGCTTTTAGTTTTATCAACTGCCTTTCAGTCACATTATAAAGTGGTTTAATTGACAGTTGTCGACTGCTTTACACTTCTCCTATTGTTACAATCAAGCATCCTGACTTCCCAATGCACCATTCTGCCTCAGACCTCATCTACTCCCAACCAGAGGAATTTCCCTCCAATTGTATTTAAGTAGAAATAAATAAATAAGCCTGCTAAGGAAATCAGTGATTGGTGCACTCTAGGTTAAGTGGACCACTAGATGTCCTTGTAGACCAAACAATAGAGGTGTCATTTTACTGCAGCAGCTTGATTTTCTAAAGAGATAAATACTAAATAAATGTGTTTAATAAAGTGGAACTATGTATATCTTTGGGGAGCTCATTCTTGTGTTTTTCTACTGTGTGTGTGTGTGTGTGTGTGTGTGTGTAATCTTCATGTAAAGCTGACCTTTCTATTCTGCATTTTCAGGATATTATCAACTCACTGGTAGCAGCAATGTTCATGATGGTCATAGCTATGTTGGCACTGATAGCAGAAAACATGCTATTTACAGTCCTAGGAGGGGTAAGTGGAGGCCTTTCTGGTTTCTTCCTTTAGGTTTGATCAGAATTCAATTTATCTAAAAAATAAGATACAAGAAAAGAACTCTACATTGCATTCATCCTTGGGCCTCTGAGGTTTTACAGCACCCAGTGGCTTAATATTTTTGTATAAATACATGCCCTGATTAATGTGAAGGAATAGGATGTCACAATAAAATGAAGTTAACTAAATAATGAGCTCCTACATATTTCTCCTGGATATGTAGGGCTAGACTAGGCTGAGAAAAGCTACAAGAATCAGTTATAATACTTAGCTTTGAGAAACTTGATGTCAAGCAAAATACCATGAATAAGTTTCATAGCTCTCCTGAAGGAAGGAAGGAAGGAAGGAAGGAAGGAAGGAAGGAAGAAAGGAAGGAAGGAAGGAAGGAAAGAAGAATGCTCAGCTGGTGTGGCTCAGTGGTTGAATGTTGTCCTATGAACCAGAAGGTCATGGTATGATTCTCAGTCAGGCCCAGGCTGTGGCTATCCCCAGTGTGGGGCTTGCAGGAGGCAGCTGGTCAATAATTCTCTCTCATCATTGATGTTTCTATCCCTCTCTCCCTCTCTCTTCCTCTCTGAAGTCAATAAAAAATATATTTCTTAAAAGATAAAAATGTACTACTTGTTAAGGTGAGACAGACTATTCTGAGCTCAGTTAGTTCTTGTCCAGATCCTTTCTCAGAGGGACTATAATAGATGTCTCCTGATAAGGGAATCATGGTAGGGAGCCTATTAACTAATAATAAAGAATTATTTTGAACTCTGATGAAATACAAATCAGTCTAATCAGACCTTATCCTGGAAAGCAAGCCAAAATTAAAAAAAAAAAAAATGTCAAGTAATGTACAATAGTTGAAATAGTCCCACCTGATACTCTTCTGAGATTTCTTATAGGAGGTTCAAAATCATTTAGCTTCTCTAGGTTCTGATCTAGAGAAGTGAATTAGAAAGTTATTAAATAAATCTCCCTCCTACTTCCTTGTCTTTTCATAGTATGGACCGCTTAGGACAGTGGTCGGCAAACTGCGGCTCTCGAGCCACATGCGGCTCCTCTTTGACCCCTTGAGTTTTTAGCAAAGGCCAGCTTGGGAGTGCCCTAATTAAGTTAATAACAATGTACCTACCTATATAGTTTAAGTTTTAAAAATTTGGCTCTCAAAAGAAATTTCAATCCTTGTACTGTTGCTATTTGGCTCTGTTGACTAATGAGTTTGCCAACCACTGGCCTAGGAGAACTGATCGCTCTCAGTTAGCCATGTTTGTCAGAATCCATGGCTTCTCACCTCCCTTATTAGGACGGGGCAGTGCTGGGGGCTGTGATGGGGGCTTATTAGGTCCTAAGTAACGTCATGAGGGATGGGAATTACTCTAGAAATGAAATAGTGCTACAACAGCAATTTCCCCCGTTATCTTTAAAGATAATCTCACCCTCTACTATGGAGAAGGAGGGTTTACTTTCATTCACTGATTTACCCATTCACTTTTTAATTGATTTCAGAGAGAAAGGGAGAGGGTGATGGAAGCATCAATGATGAGAGAGAATCACTGATTGTGTGCCTCCTGCACGCCCTCTCCTGAGGATCAAGCCCACAACCTGGGCAATGTGGCCTGACCAGGAATCAAACCGTGGCCTCCTGGTTCACAGGGTGGTGCTCAACCACTGAGCCACGCTGGCCGGGCTTGGTGACACATTGTCTGTCTTTGGGGCGGCACTGGACCAGAATGTGAGCCTTTTCCTCAAGTTACTTAGAGCCTAACGCAAGAGAGAGAGTGTGAACAGCTGTACGTGAGCTGTTGGCAGTACTTTGGGGCACAGAAAAGAGGAAGCTACTACTGTCTGGCCGTGGAATCAAGGGGGTAAGAGGTGGTAGTAGTGGGAGGGGGGGGGAGGTTCCAGGTGGAAGAACCAGCCATGTGTGGAGAGTGCCAGAGTCATGAAAGCATAGCTAGAAGGCACTTCCTGTGATCAGAACCTAGGAAGCCACGCTGGAGATTCAGGGTGGGAAAGGAGCAGGGTCTGAGGCAGCAAGCCAGCCTTCCAGGCCTTTAGATGGAGCTGAGCAAACAGCACGCAGGAATGCCCCCTCTCCAGCCCGGCACCAGCCCTCAAATAGCGGCCAGCGGGCTCTAGTTCATCCCCTTGACCTCCATTTCATTGTCCCAGGGCCTCTGTAGAGTCCCGCCCCCGTAGGTGAGCATGGCCAAGCCTTTGAGAGAGCCTCATCACCCCAGTTCTCCGAAGCTTTCATCACAGCCCCCAGCACCGCCCTTTCCTCTTGGTGCCGCTGCTCACTCTGACCCCTTCCCCAGTAGCATTTGCGACAGGAAAGGCAAACAGTGGAGCACTGGAGACAGACGTGTTGATTGATGATGACTCAATATCAGCAGCAGGCCTTGAAATAGTACGTTCCAGGAGCAAGTCAGGAGATCCAGGCCAGCCCTGGCTGGTTTGGCTCAGTGGACAGAGCATCGGCCTGGGGACTGAAGGGTCCCAGGTTCAATTCCGGTCAAAAGCATGTACCTTGGTTGCAGGCACATCCCCAGTAGGGGGTATGCAGGAGGCAGCTGGTTGATGTTTCTACCATGTTTCCCCGAAAATAAGACATCCTCCGAAAATAAGACCTAGCGCAACTTTGGGAGAAAAAAATTAATATAAGACACTGTCTTATTTTCAGGGAAACAGGGTAGCTCTCTATCCCTCTCCCCTTCCTCTCTGTAAAAAATCAATAAAAATATATTGGAGAAGGGGGGGGAAAAGAGATCCAGGCCAGTCTTTATTTCAGAGCCCACCCCACTTCAAATAGCACTTGTGCTCACGTAAATGATATTTTCCCTTTCTTCGGAAAGGGAAACTTGGGCGTGAGAATACAATGGCCTCTGAATTCTCTTCCAGTTACAGTCTCAGCAGTCCCCTTGCCCCAGCAGGAGAGGAGGCCGGTGGGCAGACCCCTTGGGCAAACAGGACCCAGTGAGAGAGACACCCCAGCAGTCACCCTGTGTCTTTGCCCGCAGGTGTTCTGCCTCCTGGCGGTGGTGTGCTGCTTCGCCGACGCGGCTCTCATTTACCGGAAGCTCCTCTTCAATCCCAGCGGTCCTTATCAGAAAAAGGCTATTCATGACGAAATATAAATGGTGTCATTTTTTAAGAGACCTTTTTTCAGGATTAAACACATCTCTTTATTTTTATTTTTTTTCCCCCAGCCCCACGTGATTTCTGCCCTTGCTTGCGTTCCTTTTCGCTCCCCCCCTCGGGAGGAGCTGGAGGAAGGGATGCAGGGATGCAGGGATTCCGCGCCCAGCGCATCCCCTGGACCACACCTGCCCGGCGCGCTGCGGGCGTCTGGGTACCGTTAGCCGTGCTTTCCCATCTCGGCCCCTGGGAACAGCAGGGGAGCCCGGGCACCCCCTGGCTGGCGAAGATGGAGTTGCAACATCGAGTTCCCACGCTGGGCAACGGCGCCCCCCGGGTGGTCAGGAGGGAGGCTGACTGGAGAGGCTGGTGCGTCCTCCGGCAGGGAGAGCTGGGTGCGCGCGAGGGATGGGCCGCCGGCAGCCGTTGGGGCGCGACGCTGGTGGCCGTGGGAGAGCCGGCGGCTGCAGCGCAGGGTCAGAGATCAGGGCCAACCTAACACAGAGCCAGGCCCCGGGCCCACCATGGCTTCTTACGATGTGGCGGGACCCGAAGGAGGCGCCTTCGTGCGTCGCGGGCGCAGCGCACCCACCAAGAATCAACCCAAACGCTCCGCGGCGTCCATCCACGGGGTGCAGCCAGGAGCCAAAGGGAAAGCCAAGACGGGCCCAGACCAGAAGCTAGATGAGTCCGTGACCCCGACCATGCTCGAGGGGGAGGCCATCACCGAAGAGGAGAAGGAGGCCATCCAGAAGCGCGCGGAGGGCCGCACCAAAGTCCCGCCCAAGTTCACGGACAGCATCAAGAAGTTCTTCTTCTCGCCCACCGGGGCGCTGAAGATCGTGAGGCTGGTGAGTAGGGAGAGCTGGTGGCTTGGCCGGGGCACAGGCAGGGCAGATGCAGGCAGGCCTTGGCCTGGGGAAACCTTCCCTAGAGCCCTTGGCCAGGCCCCGTTGGTGTTGTTGTTGTTTGTTTGTTTGTTTTCATGTATGTTTATTGTTGAAAGTATTACCGATGTCCCCTTTCTCCACCCCCTCCCCATGTTGCCGCACCCTTCCTCCTGACTCCTCTTGTTCCGTACACACACTCCAAGCTTACTACTAGAGTTGGCTTCTTTTTTTTCCTCTCCTTCTCTTTTTTTTTTTTTTTTTAATATATTTTATTGATTTTATACAGAGAGGAAGGGAGAGAGATAGAGAGTTAGAAACATCGATGAGAGAGAGTCATCGATCAGCTGCCTCTTGCACACCCCCCACTGGGGATATGCCCGCAACCAAGGTACGTGCCCTTGACCAGTATCAAACCCGGGATCCTTCAGTCCCCAAGCCGACGCTCTATCCATTGAGCCAAACCGGTCCCGGCCCTCTCCTTCTCTTCTATTCCTCTGGTTTCCCTTCACAAAGGGAACTAGGGAAGCAATGAAGACGAGAGCAGCAGTGTGTAAATGAGCCAGCACAAATCACAGAACTGACCAATAAAGCGGATAGGCCTCTCACCAAGATAACGGCCAAAGCGGGGAGGAGAGGGCATATGTTCAAAGTTAGAAACTAGAAAGGGAAAAGAATCACAAACCCCCAGGAGTCGGAAAGGATCCGCAGCAGAGGATCGTCCCAAATCAGTTTGAATAATGGGACGGTATAAAATAATGGGACGGAATAGTTGATTTTTCTAGGCAAATGCAAATCACCAAAAGTGATCCCAGAGTAGAGAAAAACCTAAACAGCCCAACATAAGCACAGAAGAAAATGAGATCTTAATCAGATGAGCATCTTTTAAAAATATATCAGACCAGCTTTTTGCACAGGTTAACGCTTTCAAACCGTCAGGGGATGTAATTCTGATACTATTCAAGGTTTTTCAAAGAACAGAGAAAAAAAGCACTTCTGAACTATTTTTACAAAGTCAATATAGCAGTGATAATCAAAACCTGACGAAGTTCAGAAAAAGGAATCAGAGTAGAAATCTCGCTTGTATCAAAGCAATAAGTATTCATATATTAGCAGACAATGTTCATCAGAACTTTTGAAAAACACACCACGAAGAAGAAACATAAGATGATTCAACATTAAAATCATAGTAAACTAATCCCCCATCCTATGTAATAAAAGCCTAATATGCTAAGTGTCTGGTCATCCAGTTGGCTGTTCAACCAATCAAAGCATAATATGCTAATGATATGCTAAGGCCCCTCAACTGCTCACTCTGATGTACACTGACCACCGGAGAGGGGGGTGGGGAGGGGCACCAGACGCTCCAACCAGTAGGTTAGCTTGCTTCTGGGATCTGGCTGATCAGGACTGACCTGGAGCCCTCCCCAGCTGACCAACCTCCCATGTCCCTCCCCAGCTCTGATTATGCACCAGTGGGGTTCCTTGGCCTGGCCTGCACCCTCTCACAATCTGGAACCCCTCAGGGGATGTCAGAGAGCTGATTTTAGCCCCACTGCAGAACTACTCGTCACTATGATATGCACTGACCACCAGGGGGCAAAGGCTCAACCCTGGACATCCCCTGAGGGCTCCCGGATTACAAGAGGGCACAGGCAGGGCTGAGGGAAGCCCCCACCCCCGCAGAGTGCACAAATTTCGTGCACCGGGCCTCTAGTATATATCGTAAATACAAAGAGAAGAAAATAGTACAAGAAGGATCCAAAACACATTTGACAAAACCCAATATTCATTGGTTCTTTGAATATTCATTCATTCTTTGATTGCATGGGAGAGAGTGAGAGAGAAAAGACCAGTAAAATAGAAATACATAGGTATTTCACTGACATTGTAAAAATAAACCCAAAAGTCAGCATCATATAAATTAAACATCAGAAGTATGAGAAACAAAATGAGAAACAAAAAGGATGCCCACTATCAATGCTGTTATTTAATATTTTTCTGGAACCACTAGTCATCACAATTAGGGGGGAAAAAGTAAGAACATTTGAAAAGAGAGACAAAATATATCACTTCTTCCAGCTGATATCTAAATAACTCAAAGTCAACTGGGAAACAGAATAAGGTAACTTCTACTAGCTCATTAGTGGAAATGAGAAAATAAGCACTTAAAATAAAAGAAAATATTTTTTGTTTACAACAACAATCAAAATAAGAATCTTAGATGAAATGAAATAAATTTGCAAAACCCTTATGAAGAAAACTTTAAAATTCCATTGAGAGATATTTAAACGCCACTAAAATAACAGAAAAGACACAGTGTTCTTGACTAGCAAGACCAAATTTTGCAATAACTTTTCCAGATTATAAATTAAATGGAACCCCAATAAAATTACTACCAAAAGGCTTAGTTGGGGAACTTGACCAAGACAAGCATGGGGGAGGCATAAAACAACCTGAGAATGAGTATGGAAAGGTCAGATAATGTGATATAAAACAAATCTCCTGTCATTTCAAAAGTACTAGAAAAGTAATCATCGAATCAATGGAGGAGAACAGTCTCAAAAAAGACCCAGTTCACCTGAGAATTTACTGTATAATAAAATCTGGGTATTAAGTCAGCCCCGGAGTCATTCATAGCAATCACCACCCTGGAAATCTTCATCGTTATTTTATTTATTTTCATATATTCCCAATAAATGATGTTGGGATGATCCACAGCTATGTAGAGAGAAAGCAAGCTTAGACTTTTCCCTTACTCTATCAAAATCAATATCTACTTTCTCTACTCTATCTGTATATACACATTTCTTTTTGGTTTAAAACATACACTGTTGACAGTGATTGCTTTTTTAAAAAATATATTTTACTGATTTTTTTACAGAGAGGAAGAGAGAGGGATAGAGAGGTAGAAAAATCGATGAGAGAGAAATATTAATCAGCTGCCTCTTGCACACCCCCTACTGAGGATGTGCCCACAACCAAAGTACATGCCCTTGACTGGAATCAAACCTGGGACCTTTCAGTCCGCAGGCCAATGCTCTATCCACTGAGCCAAACAGGTCTCGACAACAGTGGTTACTCTTAAGAAGCCAGACTAGGGTTGGGTTAAGGGAGGTGAAAGGAACTGGCATTTTTTTACCCTCCTCTACTGTGCATTTTTATTATTTGGTTTTTTTTTTTTGTTGTTGTTGTTGTTGTTTTCATCTTTTATCAACCTGAAACTTTTTTTTCTCATTTTTTTTATTAAGGTATTATATGTGTACATACCTTACCAAGCCCCAACCCACCCCCACCCCCATTTTTATTTTCTGTGTGTATTATTTCATTTCTTAAAAGTACAAAAATAAAGTGTATGAGCAAGGCCATACAGGCAATTTCAATATACCGTAATCAGATTTGCGTTTGACAAATCATGGTGTGTGTGGGGGGGGGGGGGGAGGTTTAATAGTCCATGTGCATTAAAAGGAAACCTGTTTCTTTTACTGCAGGGTCTTCTCATAGGAGCACTAACTTGTTTCATCGTCGCCGAAGCCCAGGAGTCATTCATAGCAATCACCACCCTGGAAATCTTCATCATTATTTTGTTTATTCTCATATATATGCTAACCCTTCACCACTTGCTGACTTACATACACTGGCCCTTACTTGTAAGTGTTCGCTTTCGTAATTCAAATATAAACTTCGCCCTCGGCCCCAGAGCAGAGGATCTCTTTACGTGAAAGCACCCAGACTCTCTCTCTCTCTCTCTCTGGGCAAGGACACAGCTGAGCTCTGACAGGGAGGGTGTCCCCTATTCCCCGGGGAGGAACCGGCCTCGGACCCCCCTGTCTACAGGGCAACCAGCGCGCACCCCTGAGGTGTCATGATGGGTCTGAGCATGGGGCACTCTGCCACGTGTCCTAAAGAAGGGTCTCATGCATAGAGTCAATTGGTACACGTTTTGTATTTGTTGCTTATAAAACAGACATGCTTCCCCTTTGCAAACAGTTATAAACACCCACCCGCCTCCTCCCCCCCAAAAAAAAGCAAGACCAGACACGGCAGAGGTACAGAAAACGGTCACGTATGCCCCGAAAGGTTGCAGGAGCCAACCTTTCCATGTGTGCTATTACACCCCAAAGGGTGCCAGATGGAAGAGGGTTCAGGGAAAGAAAAACACGGCACATTCTAGCTGCTCCGGCATCCCACAGTCTTTAGCAACTAAACGCTCCCGAAGCGAATCCCTCCGGGGCCTGAGTCTGCGCCCTCAGACCAGAGCGGGGATTCGGCGTCCGCTGGGCAGACAGGGGCCTCCTTCCTGGCTCTGGACCTTCCTGGCCGTGTGACCTGCAGCCTCCGTTCCCGCATCAGGGAAGGAAGAGTGCGATCCTAACGTCAGCGTGTTTCAAGCACACAGCCCAGCGCTTGGCCCACGGGAACGACTCCTCGGGAAGCGCGGCCCGCAGACCCTAGATTCTAGAAGGCTCTCTCACCCCCCAAGGGTGGCTTTTACCAGCGGAGCTGGCACCGCGAACAACGCTCGCTCGTGAGCTCGGACCTCGTCCACACCGTGCTTCCCCAGGGCACCGTGTTCTAGTCTCCGGGGAGAGCTGGTGGCTGCGGAGCTAAAACGCACACGTTTCCTTCAAGTGCCTGAGGGCTTTTCTGAAAAGGCTGCCGAGCGCCGAGCAACAGGAAGCAGACAAAGCAGAGCCCTGGGCAGCTCCCGCTGGACACCTGGAAGGACCTGTTAATGGCGGAGCCCTAACCAGGGAGAGGTTTCCCTCCAGGGGGAAGTGGAAATCTCTGGCCGTGGAAATGTTTGAGAAGGGAAGGTAAAGTAACCGTTTCTGAGCACATGCCGGGCGCCAGGTTCCTGTGAACCACCTTATCTCATCCTCACAACAGCCCCAGAAGGTTGTAGTCACCCCCCCACACACACACCCCGTCGGACAGGGGAGAACGTTGGATTGAAGGATTGAGTTGCCCGTGGTCATGTGTAGGGAGGGAAACTCGGATTTGAACCCAGGTCTGCCAGACTCGCTAACCCTAACCCTAACCCTAACCCTAACCCGAGGCTCAACTAACTAGCAGCCCACATACTAAGCAGCCACATACTAACCAACCCTAACCCTAACCCTAACCCGAGGCTCAACTAACTAGCAGCCCACATACTAAGCAGCCACATACTAACCAACCCTAACCCTAACCGTAACACGAGGCTCAACTAACTCGCAGCCCACAAGCTAAGCAGCCACATACTAACCAACATAGTTGATCAGGTGGTGAGTGATCTAATTGACTTGGGAGGTTTCTAAAAACATCCGGCAAAACAAGATCCAAAACTATTCTCTTCTCCTCTCCCTTTCCTTCCTAGTCTGCCCTTTCGGATCCCATTAGGTGAAGGACATGAGTCTATACGATTGCTCAGAGGGAGCAGGGAGGCCTGGGCCCGATTTAAAATGTGCTGGCTTAGGGACAGTCCTGGTACCAGCCCAGGAGGTGACCAATTGAAACTTCAGAGTAGGCGGACTTGGAGACAGGTCGGCATCAAGCGGCAGGAGTCACCTGGGACCTTTAGAAGGGTCAGCGCAGCAAGCCAGAGAACACGGGTTCACTGTCCCTGCTTCAGAGCTCTGCCCTGGGGTCCAGTTGGCCCAGCTGTCACTTTCTCCCCTTCTCTCCAGGCAAGATGGTTTAGTGTCCAGGGGAGGGGGTAAAGGAATAAGACCGTGGTCAGCAAACCGCGGCTCTTTGGCCCCTTCCACAAAACACCACAGCCTGGGCGAGTCTATGTTGAAGAAGTGGCGTTAGAAGTTTAAGTTTAAAAAATGTGGCTCTCAAAAGAAATTCCAATCGCTGTACTGTTGATATTTGGCTCTGTGGACTAATGCAGTGTTTTTCAACCTTTTTTGGGCAAAGGCACACTTGTTTCATGAAAAAAATCACGAGGCACACCACCATTAGAAAATGTTAAAAAATTTAACTCTGTGCCTATATTGACTATATATAAAGTAATTTTCTTGAATAGGAATCAAATAAACACAAAGAAAGTATTTTATAATTACTTTATTATGAAATATTAAGTAAACAAAATAGTGAAAAATTATAAAATTCTTGTCTTGTCTGCACTTACGGCACACCAGGCAACATCTCGCGGCACACTAACAGCGGTTGAAAAACGCTGGACTAATGAGTTTGCCAACCACTGGACTAGGGCAAAGAGTGCCGACTTTAAATATGTTTTAATTTATTTTTAGAGGGAGAGGAAGGGAGGATAGAGAGATAGAAACCTCAATTGGCTGCCTCCTGCCGATCTGCTACTGGGGATCAAGCCTGAAACTAGGGCATGTGCCCTGGCCAGGAATCAAACCGGTGACCTCCTGGTTCATGGGTTGACTCTCACTGAGCCACACCGGCCGGGCAGGAGTACTTATTTTAAGCATCCATTTCCTTAAAGGCTCACAGGAAGAGCAAGTTCCCGATTCCTTTATTCCCATCCTTGTTCAGTAAAGGGCTCAGGCTGGAAGTCCCCAGCAAGGAGGTAGAAGGTCTGAGGAATCGAGGCTTAGACCCTCAGCAGGGCAGCACCACACGATGCTGGTCTCACACAGATGACCTGCGGAGGTCTGTAGACCCTGGGTCCAGATTTGGGCAGGGTGTCCTTCTCTGGAGATAGGATGGAGCCTGGGCTTGGGGACCCACACCCGAGTCTCAATGCAGCTTTTCGCCTGGGTGAGGGCTGTGCCAGAGACCCTGACACCCATGGGGAAGGTGCCCATCGAACTCTCAGCTAGCCCCTGACTCGCCAGCGCAGCTCTGAATCAGAGCGAGTTAGAATACAGCTTACCCTCCCCACCACCCTAACGTGGAGGCACTCTCCTCATTTCTCCACTGCATTCCCAATTTGAGACACCATCATCTATATCGCCTGTCAATATACCCAAGAAACGTATGAACTGTCATCACTGTCTTCCGAATAGCCCCCTTTTTTTTTTTTAACACTTCTACATTGTAAAAAATATTACCCAGGATGGTCAGAGAAACTGAGTCCTGGTCAAGCAGATGTTCTTGCCAGTAGAAACCAAATTTTTTTAAAAATTTTAAAAAAAAGAACATAAACATATTTTAAAATAAAGCTCTATAGAAGTGATGATTCCTAAACTCCCAGCAATGTCTTTACATTTAGAAGCGAGAAGCATTAGCTTTCAGATTCGTGAAAAACACCAATTCTGGCAATTTCCGATCAGACGCTGCCACCCGTTGGGAGAACTCCAGGCACACAGGGAACCAAAGTTGCAGCTCGCTGGCCCACCAGCTAATGTTGATTGTGTATGAATGCTTGTTACCAATCCCACAGGTTGTAAAACAGATTTAAGCGTTTAAACGTTCTTTCCGATAGGGATATTGAAAAACAAGCATTCGACATTACAGCCTCTTTTTCTTTCCCAGTTACAGTTTGACACCATGGTGTTTACCTCAGAGAACAGTCCGAGAGCTTTAAGGAAAACAACTGAGCAGTGACAAACCCATCCCTCATTCTGCTCAGCAGCGGCTACTTGAATCAATAGGGCATTGAGCCACGGCGGAGAGGGAGAGAAACGACGATGCATTAGGATGGCATTGGCAGGGGAACCCGCCAGAAGTCCTGCTGGGTGGCGCAAGGGTCCGCTGCCATTTTACCCGATCGAGGAGAACGTGTCTTTGTCAAGGACGAGGCCAATCAGAGGGTCTGTGTCTGAGGCAAAAGGAAGCGGGGTTAGTCAGGAGAAGGCCCCGGGCAATCAAGTCAGACAGCTGAGGGTCGGAGCCACTCACTGGCTGACCCATCTCCCCCTCCCCGAGCAAGTTGCTCCCCCACGTGTGAATTGGGGATAATGAAAGTTTGTTGTGTGAATCAAATGAGATCTTGTATTAACACCTTGGCACCGTATGTGACACATAGTAAGAGCTCAAGAAATGTGAGCTGCCACAGAAACGTAGAGTACCAGGCAAACATGAGCTCCAAGAGACAGCTGAGGAGAGTGCTCCTTCTTGAGGGAGGACCACAGTAACCCATATCACCCAGCAGTCCAAGGAGGGGGTGGAACCGTGATGGGGAATCCGCCGTGGGCCGGGCAGGGCCAGTCTGCATCTGGTTTAGTGCCAGGATCATTGTCAATGTCCTTTCATCCACATTCACAATGTCCCCTGACCATGGCTAGTTCATTTTTATCGTAACAAGTCTACATTCTGCTTCTTAGCTGTAAGAGTCCTTGTTCGCATCTTCCAAAAGCTTAGTCTGCAGTTCTCAGGTACAAGGCTGCAAACTGCCGCACCTGCCCCACAATAGCCAGACCTGTCAACCAGCCTATGGAACTCACTGGAACTCGCTTCCAACCCTCCCCAGCCCTGCTCCGCGTCCCCTTACAGTGTTACCCACCAGGTGCCCAGATAATAGACCCTTCCGAGAGGCAGGTTCACAAAAGGCTCCTTGCTTTCTAATCTCAACAGGAAAAACACCTGGAATTTGCGGGAAGTTTACTGTCTATGCACATTTTGAGGCCAGATATCACGAATCTACGTGTTGTTGTTGTTTATTATTATTATTATTATTATTATTATTATTAATTATTGATTTTTTTTACAGAGAAGAAGGGAGAGGGATAGAGAGCTAGAAACATCGATGAGAGAGAAACATCTATCAGCTGCATCCTGCACACACCAGCCCCCCACCGGGGATACGCCCACAACCAAGGTACATGCCCTTGACCAGAATCGAACCTGGGACCTTGCAGTCCGCAGGCCGACGCTCTATCCACTGAGCCAAACCAGTTTCAGCATGAATCTACGTGTCGATGCACTCCCACCACCCACTAGACGCCAGGCACTAACCTGCTGCTTTCAGATTCCTCACGCCACGTAATCCTCAGATCACCCCCACCAATCCCAGCCATTCGCTTCATATTAAAAATCAGCATGCTGGCATGGGGGTGGGGGGTGTTGGGGGAGGTGACAAAGCGTGCCCCGGTCACACATCTGGGAACTGGCAGGCCAAAAATGAGCTCCACAAATGCCACCCACAAAAAGCACTCTCACCTCTTGTGTCTCATCCATGCTGAGCCTCAACGCCCCATTCTACAGAAAACGACAAAGATGGAGGCTGCTCCTCCATGCTATGCAGGTGTCCCTGCTGGGAGGCAAGAGTGCGCTGAGTTCTGACTCCACCCTTTGCCTGCGCCATCGTAGGCAATTTCGTGAACCCCTCTAAGCCTCCGTTACAGCCTCTTCACTGGAGATCACAACCATTCTGACTGCAGGGTGCTCAGGAGGGTTCAGTGAGAGAATGACTGGGAAGTGCTCGGCACCTTGAAAAGCCACTGGGATTCCATACACCGGATGGCAGGCTCCTTGCTGTGTCTGGGCAAGAACACCCCACGGATTGATACCACTAAGTCAGGCCACTTTAAGACTAAAAATGGCCGAAACTGGTTTGGCTCAGTGGTAGAGCGTTGGTCTGCGGACTGAAAGGTTCCGGGTTCAATTCCCGTCAAGGGCATGTACCTTGGTTGCGGGCACATCCCCGGTAGGGGGTGTGCAAGAGGCAGCTGGTCGATGTTCCTCTCTCATCGACGTTTCTGGCTCTCCATCTCTCTCCCTTCCTCTCTGTAAAAAAATCAATAAAATATACTTAAAAAAAAAAAAAGACTAAAATGTTCCAATTTGCTATCTGGGCCATATCAGGGTTCTATCGCCCTTGGCTGTTGGGCTGTTGCCACGGACACATGGAGTGCCTTCTTCCATTACTGCCCCACCACCAAAGCCCAACCACTGCCCATTTATCCTCACCCTTTACTTAGCAGTTAAAGAACCCGGTACTGACACCCAGAAGGAAGGATGTCGGCACGGACGTCAGGGCAGACTCAACTGTGACCACGCTTTAGGAAAACGCAAAAGTCAACAACAGCACCAGGCATTCACTCCAGAACGTCAGGCCCGCTCCCCCGAAGGCTTCCTGCCTTCTCAGGCTAGGTGAACGTGAACCTACAGAATAAATACGACCCACCGTCTAAACCACATGTGTCAAACACAAGGCCCGCGGGCCAAATCCGTCCCGCCAGGCCTTGCAATGTGGCCCACACCGCGCTGTCATCACTGCACTCCGCTGCGTTTCCATCACAATGACAGTTTATGACCGTTCAGTAAACCATTCGGCCCGCGATTTAGGCTGGATTTTAGATTTTGGCCCCTTCTCTGATTGAGTTCGACACCCCTAGTCTAAACGAAGGATCGGTTCTACCTAAAGATTTGGGGGGTGGAATGAAATCAGTCGAGTCCTAATCCAAAATTTTAATTTGTAAAACATTTTCATTGATTTCCTAGAGGAAAGGAGAGGGGGAGAGAGAAACATCAACGATGAGAGAGAATCACTGGTCAGCTGCCTCCTGTGCTGGCCCCCACTCCCCAGTGGAACCCGGGCATGTGCCCTGACAGGGAATTGAACGGTGGTTTCCTGATTCATAGGTCGATACTCAACCAGGGAGCCACATGCACCAGGTCTAAAATTTTATTTTTACATTAAAACAAATGTATTGTGGAACAGAATCCAGAATTAATTTAAAATATAAGGCTTCCAAAAATCATATTTTTGGAAGACCAATTTGGGCTCGGCCCCCAAACCTTTAGATGTTTTCATGCTCACTTTCCGCAGTCTTGAAGAAAAATCTAACGGAAAAGTTGTCAGATTTTTAACGACAACTTTGGTGCTCTTTAACGAAATTAAACCCATGTCTGCTGACCAAGTCCTATCCAGGGTCTTAAAATCACATAAACTCATGTCTCTGGAAGATGTAAGAATTATGCTGCTGGGGATTCCTCTGAATATTAATCAGAGGGAAAGTCTGCAACAGACGTCCATCCTTAGATAGGTAACTGACCCATTTACATGTTTTATGAAACTACATTTTCATGTAAAGTTGATCATGTTCACTTCTGTCTTACAGGATCTTATCAACAGTTTCATTACCACCATCTTCCTTTTAGTCGTGGCCATCTTGACAATGAGGGAAAAGGAAAGGAGACAATTATTCTACATCGGAGGGGTAAGTAAAGGCCCCCACAACTCCACTGTAGCTGAGAACTGGCACACCGACACCATTTCCATTACAGAACACCCTCACCACCGTCCTTCCTCTTCTCTGCACCCAGAACTTGAGAAGACGTGAAGTTACACACATTCTAAGCTCATGAAAATCTTCATCCTGATACCCATTCTCCAAACAGGGATAAAAGCAAGTTGCTGAAGCCCTTTTTGAGAATCGTATATGCTATTTTTTAAACCATTGCAACAAGATGTTCTTCTCTACCGTGTTTCCCCGAAAATAAGACATCCTCCGAAAATAAGACCTAGCGCATGGAAAGATAAGACATCCCCTGAAAATATGACCTAGCGCAACTTTGGGAGAAAAAAAATTAATATAAGACACTATCTTATTTTCGGGGAAACAGGGTATACATAGGACTTAGACTTTTCGGGCTGGACTAGAGGATATCTTAAAAGCACATGAAAAGAATAATTGTAGGGGGAGGGAGGAGGGAGAGCATTGTTAAAAGTGAGTGAGCCAGCCTATTCAAGAAGGAAGGAAGGGAGGAAGAAAGGAAGGGAGGGAGGGAAGGAGGGAGGGAGGGAGGGAGGGAAGGAGGGAGGGAGGAAGTCCAAGGGAGGAAATTACTTTCCAAGCATCCAAGAAGTGCCCCACACAAAGCTAGGCTTGTTTGTCTGTTTTGTTAATCCTCACCTGAGGATATTTTTTTCCATTGCTTCTTGGAGAGAATGGGAGGGAGGGAGAGAGGGAGAAGGAGAGAGACATAGAGACACATCCATCGGTCGCCTCCCACATGTGCCCCAACCCCGCCCAGGACCAGGGATCGAACCTGTAACCCAGATACATGCTCTTGACCAGGAATCAAACCAGAGACCCTTCAGTGATCTGGACTAACACTCTAACCATTGAGCAACACAGGCCAAGACATGTTTTGACTCAACTTGACAACTCTCATTTTTGCAGATATGGCACAGGCTGGGATACACTGAAACTTGAATCCTCATAGGAAGGGCACAAAACATGGCAGATTTCATGCTTGGAAGATGGTGGGAGTGTGGGGAGGTGAGACTTTGGTTTAAGAGGTTAAACTGCCGAAACCGGTTTGGCTCAGGGGATAGAGCGTCGGCCTGCGGACTGAAAGGTCCCAGGTTCGATTCCGGTCAAGGGCATGTACCTTGGTTGCGGGCACATCCCCAGTGGGGGGTGTGCAAGAGGCAGCTGATCGATGTTTCTCTCTCCTCGATGTTTCTAACTCTCTTCCTCTCTGTAAAAAAATCAATAAAATATATTAAAAAAAAAAAAAAAGAGGTTAAACCATGGGAAGAGAAATTAATAAAAAAAAAATGGTTAAAGTTCTTTGAATTCATTCCATAATCAATAAATACTTGCCAGTCCCATCGGATTGTGCCAGGCCTGAACTCTGTGTTGGGGATAGAATCCTTTCCCCCAGGGGAACTCACAGATCAGATGGGGCAAGAGCTGCCTAGGAAAAGTTCATTTAAGCAGCCATGGATTACGTGACCAGAAAGAGAAACATCCAAGGCAGACAGGAGCTGGTCCCCATTTGCTAACTCAGACTCCAAGTCTTCCGCCACCGGCCAGGGGATCCTAGCGCCTGGTCTCCATAAATTCTTACCTGGATGGAGGAGAAACCAAGATGGTGGCATAGGGTAGACACCCGAATGCAGCCTACCACAACAAATTTGAATTTAGAACTGAAAAACAGGGGAACCATCGCCCTGAAGCGCCGGACGGCTGCCTGAGAGGAGGCTCTGCCATCTGGGAAGGAGAGAGAAGGCACGCTGAACCTCAGGAACTGTGAAGGTGCGGAGAACTGCGCGCGAAAAGGCGGCCACCCGACTTGGCTGCAGGCTTGCTTGCAGAGCGCGGAGAGGGCGGGCTGAGTTCACTACTGGCTTACTCCCTGCACGGAGAGGGCAGACAGCTAATGTGCGGCTGGCTTTCTGGTTCGGGAGGAAAGCAGAACCACCCTATTGCACTGATAAACGGCCCCAGACAGGGAGAGGCCAGACTGTCAGGCAGAGGGCAAAGATCTCTCAGAGGTGTGTGAAGCCAGCAGTCATTACTGTGGGAATCAGAAACCAGACCCCGTAGGGAGGGGCTGAATAAAGCTTGTCTGCACCACCCGAGACTCCGCCCCATCCAAGCGGAGCACAGAAGCCCTTCCAGTGGCTAGCTTTCTCATTCGCAGTGAATGGGACTCTCCTAGGGAGTGACAGACAGAATCTAAAGCTTGTCTGCACCTATACCAAAGAGGTGTGCGTGCCTGCAACCAATTGTGCAGGATTCAACAAAGCTTGTCTGTGCCACCCCCGAGACTCCGCCCATTCAAGCGGAATACAGAAACCCTCCTAGCTGAGACACTTCTGATCTTCATAGCCAATTGGCTTGGAGATCAACGCTTCCCAGTGATACCAACAACAAACAAGACTTAACAACAAGACTGCACACACAGCCCACAAAGGGCTACACCAAGACTGTCCACCTCAGGTAACTGGGAGGCTGACTCACTGAACCATATAGGACACCTTAGCACACAAAGCCACCCTACCAACTCAGGGAAGCTGTGAAAATGCCAAGACAAGGAAACAGATCACAAATGAAATAAATGGAGGACAAAAAGCGACTGGATATAAAACAACGCTTATAAGGTTTTTCAAGAATTTCCTAGAAAAGGCCAATAAAATAAATGAGACCTATGAGGATATGAAAAGGGATCAACTAGAAATAAAGAATACATTGTCTGAAATAAAAAATATACAGAGTCCTAAAAAACAGAATGGAAGATCGCAAGAATCAAGTCAAAGATTTGGAACACAAAGAGCCAGAGGACATTCCTCCACAGAAGCAAGAAGATAAGAGAATCCAGAAAGTTGAAGATAGTGTAAGAAACCTCTGGGACAATTTCAAACGAGCCAACATCAGAATTATGGGGGTCCCAGAAGAAGAGAGAGAACAAGATACCGAAAAAATACTGGAAGAAATAGTGACAGAAAACTTCCCCCACCTGGGGAAAGAAATAGACTTACAAGTCCAGGAAGTGCACAGAACCCCAAACAAAAGGAATCCAAAGAGGACCATACCAAGACACGTCATAATTAAAATTCCAAGAGCAAAAGACAAAGAGAGAATATTAAAAGCAGCAAGAGCAAAGCAGGTAGTTACCTATAAAGGAGCACCCATACGACTGTCAGCTGATTTCTCAACAGAAACCACGCAGGCAAGATGGGAATAGCAAGAAATATTCAAGGTGATGAATAGCAAGAACCTACAGCCAAAAATACTCTACCCAGCAAAGCTATCACTCAGAATCGAAGGCCAGATAAAGAGCTTCACAAATAAAATAAAAAAGCTAAAGGAGTTCATCACTGCCAAACCAGAATTATATGAATTGCTGAAAGGGGTTCTTTAGGAAGAGAAAGTAAATAAAGATAAAAACTATGAACAACAAATATGTAACTATCAACAAGTGAATCTAAAAACCAAGGGAATTTTAAAAATCTGATGAACAATATTAACTGGTGAATATAATAGAATCAGAGGTATGGAAGGGGAGTGAACTGACGATTCTTGGGGAAAGGGGGAGAGGGGGGTGTGGGAAGAGCCTGAACATAAACTGTGCACCTATGGATGAGAACAATGGGGGTGGGGAAAGGGCAGAGGGTGGGGTGGGAACCTGGTGGAGGGGAACAATGGAGGGGGGGGGGGGGGAAATGAGGAACATTTGTAATAATATGAACAATAAAATTTTATTTAAAAAAAATTCTTACCTGGAAGGCAGGTGACCCCACCACCTCCCACTAGCCCCTTTGCCTCCAGCCTAGGTCACTGGCCAGTCACCTCACCATTCGGCAAGAAGGCTTTCTAAGTCCGACAACCCCCCACCTCTCCTCTTGATAAAGTCCCACATCCTGCACCTCCCCAGCCTCAACTCTGCCCCTCCCTCAACCTCTCCAGAGGTCTCAGCCACACCAGAGTCCTCGGAGACCTCAGTCAGCCCAGTGCCTGGAGTTCTCCTCCCAGCTGGTCCCCTTAGAAACTCCTTCCTGCCCTTTCAAACTTAGCCCAAGAGTCCTGTCCACGAAGGGTCACCTCAGGACCCCAACCCCACCAGGAGCCCCCTAAGTCCAGTGTCCTTCTCTGGGCCTTTCCTGGTGCCTCGTGAGTCAGATGAGGTCATTAGTGTCTGCAAAACTCACCATTTTCCAAAATTCCTTTTCCTGGGAATGACAGAAAGGGTCACAGCAGGTAGCGGAGGGTCAGAGAGGGACAAGAAGACAGGTGGCGTCCCTGGATGGGGATAAGGAAGACAGACAGACAGGTGGCTCCTGAGCTGCACAGTAACCCCACCTTTCCTTCCCACGGATGGCCTTGTGTCCCACAGGCCCTGTGTCTTGCGGTGGCCATCGTGTGTCTCGTGGATGCGACCCTGGTCACCAAGATGGTGAGGAATGCCATAAAGAAAGCCCTGGGCATCGAAGGCAAAGCTGCAGCGGCCACCCCAGCCAAGGAAGAACCTGGCCAGCAGCAGCCCCAAGAGCCCCAGCAGGAGCCCAAATCCGACCAGCCCCAAGAACCCCAGCAGGAGCCCAAACCCGAGCCTGGGAAGCCGCCCAGCCCTGTGTCCTTGGAGCCAGCCGCCATGGGATCCTAGCCGGCCAAAGAGGCTGAGCCCTCGGCCTGAGCTCACACGCTGTCACTCGTGTCGGCCCACACACGTGATCATAAAGTCAGGGCCTCTGAGCCAGGAACACTTCTGCTTCCACGTGTCGCCTTGTGTCCAAGTCCAATTGCCTTTCTCCCTCTCCCCTCCCTCCATCCCCCCCCACCCTCCACCCCCCAACCCTCCTCCCTCCCACCCCCCACCGCCTCCCAGGGCACAGCGGCCCTGGTCTCAGGGGGGCCACCCAAGGCCCTGGATACCGCCCTGCTGCCAGCCACTAACCCTAACCCAACCCTGGGACCAGGCCAGGCTGGACTGTGAAGGGATCCCTGGAAAGGGGCGGGGCCTGGGGGCGGGGCGGGGCGGGGGCGAGGCTCCTGAGTGGGGGCAGGGCCAGGTGGACTGTGAGGGGGAGCCCGAGGCAGAGGCGGGTCCTGGACGGTGGGCGGGGCTAGTGGGTGTGTGTCGGTGGGCGTGGCTCCTGCGTGGGGGCGGGGCCATCCTGGATGGCTGGACAGCAGGGCTGACCTTGCCACGGTGGGAAGGGCGCGTGCAGAGGGCACCACGCGATGGCTTCGCTGGCCTCTGGCCGTTGGCTGAGCGTGGCCCCCGAGCTGGTCGGTTGGCATCCGGCTGGCTCAGGGTCAGGCCTGTCCCGGGAACAGCAACAAGAGGTTGGGCGGGCCGTGAGAAGCCGAAGGGGTGGTCCTCGCCAAGATGGCAGACAAAGGCAAAAAGGGGGACAAGCCGGGCGGCAAGCAGGAGGGAGAGCACCCCTCGGTGGAGGACAAGAAGGGGGAGGTCAAGAAGGGGGAGGACAAGAAGGGAGAGGAGCCGCCGCCGCCCAAGACCAAGTCCGTGCAGCCCAAGGATGAGGTGGGCACCAGGAAGGGGTGCCGCCGCTACCGCTGGGAGATCAAGGACAGCAACAGGGAGTTCTGGATGGTGGGGCACGCCTTGTCCAAGATCCTGAGCGTGGTGAGTGGGCCCGGCCCGGAGAGAGGGGAGGAGCGGGCTCCCGAGGCCCAGGCGGAGGAGCCGGGAGCCGGTGAGAGCCCTTGGCCTTGGCCTTGGCCGTGTGTGTCTCCCCCGACAGGGCTGCCTGGTAGGCGCGCTCATCATGTTCACCGGCACCGTGGTGCACCCGCTCGTGTCCCTCATGATCTTCATGGAGCTGTCCATCTTCCTCTTCTTCATCTTCATCTACACCTTCGCCATCAACAAATACATGCCCTTCATCCTGTGGCCCGTCACTGTAAGTGCGGGAGCCGGGGCCCGGCCGGGGCCTGCCCAGGCGCTCGCTCGCCGGGACCTGCCTCCCCGCCCGCGTCTGTGCCAGGCGTGGTGGGCTCCGCGCCTCTGGATGGGGCTGGGGGAGAGGCGGCTGCGTTTAAGTGGAGAAGGCTCCGAGAAAGCCCACCTTGAGGGAAGGAGGCTCTTAACCCACCTGCTGGTCAAGGCCCCAAGGTCTTGGCTCTTAGGAGGGTCTGCTGCCCTTGGGAGGAGGGGAGGTGTGGCCAGGACCTGCTCTTCCCAAGCCCTGTACCAGCTCACACCCAGAACACACCCTGTCCCCTGAACGCAAAGTAAAACAATCTTCCCACAAGTTGGTCAAATAAAAATGAGGGGGGAAAAAAATTTTTTTTAATTACTACTTCTAGCCAAAGCTTGTTTGGCTCAGTGGATAGAGCATCAGCCTGCGGACTGACTGAAGGGTCCCGGGTTCGATTCCAGTCAAGGGCATGTGCCTTGGTTGCGGGCACACCATCAGGCGCTGGGGTGTGCAGGAGGCAGCTGATCGCGGTTTCTAACTCTCTGTCCCTCTCCTTTCCTCTCTGTAAAAAAAATAATAATAAAATAAAAATTATAAAATATAAGAAAAAAAATCACTTCTAAAACAGCCTAAGATCTCCCAGGGACTATCCCTGTAAAAGGTGTTCCACCAGAAAGAGGTTCAGGGGAAAGCAGCCGTCCACTGGGCTAGGATTGGGCAAGTGGCCCAGCCACTGGGAGCCTCTGCCCCCTCGCCTGCCACCGGAGGTCGGCGGTCCTCGCCGCTGTGATTGTCCCCAAGGAGCCACGTAAAGTGTGTGGCCGAGCGCCGGAGGGCTGGCGGGCCTGACTGCCTGCCCCGCTGCCTGTGTGACCACAGAGCACAGCCCAGGCCCTCAAGCACCGCACATTCCCAGCACGCCTCCAGCGCCCCGTGCTCCCTGCTCCTCTCCCTCTGCACACGGCATGGGCTCAGAATGGCCGAGTAACTTGCCTCCAAGCAACAGCCAGTAAGTGGCACATGAAAAAAAGACTCTCCCTGAGTAGCATCTGAGTCCTTAACTGCACTCTGTCCTGCCAACTTGTTCAAAGCTACTAGGGCCCAACCGATGTGGCTCAGTGGATAGAGCATCAGCCTGCGGACTGAAAGGTCCCAGGTTCGATTCTGGTCAAGGGCATGTGCCTTGGTTGCAGGCACACCCCCAGTGGGGCATGTGCAAGAGAGGCAGCTGATCGATGTTTCTCTCTCATCGATGTTTCTAACGTTCTATCCCTCTTCCTTCCTCTGTGTAAAAAAATCAATAAAATATACTTTTTTTTTTTTTTAAGTTACTAGGGTCCAGGGACCCATGGGTCTCGGTGTGGTATATGGGGACCCTCAGTACAGGGAGAAAGGAGGAGAGAGCCAATAAGGCTCTTGGGATAAGCAGAGGGCAGAGAAAAGGGACAGGCAGAGAACAAGTTCCCAGCCAAGGAGCTTGAGAGAAGACATTTCTATTTTAGCTCCAGCAAGATGAAACATCAGAGAAGCCTGGAAGTCCTCCTGCTGCTGCACTTACCTAAAAGCCAGAGGGGGCGTACCCACTATTGCTCTCACTGAATGGCTGATTGGGAAAAGAGAGAGAGAGAGAGAGAGAGAGAGAGAGAGAGAGAGAGAGAGAGAGAGAGAGAGAGAGAGGAGACAGAGACAAGGCGCCAGAAATGAAAACAGGAGCAGTGATCAAATACGCCCCTGAGGTTGGTAGGAATAGCTCAGAGTGTTACCTAGGAGTATGGGCTTTCATCCATCCTTAAGTTAGGTGATGAGGCGCCGGTCCCAAGCAAAGCGGGGATTTAGAACCGAGAGCCCTGCCTGCAGCCAGCACCCTGGAAAGACTACAGTACTCCCTTAGGGGAAAGACGGAGAAGATACCTCTTCCCACACAGAGAAACCAGAAAGCATGCTTGCCCAGCCCGTGCAGCTCAGTGGTTGAATATCAACCTATAAACCAGGAGGTCAAGGTTCCATTCCCAGTCAGGCAGGGCACATCCCAAATTGTACCTCTCCCTCTCCCTTCCTCTCTGAAATCAATTATATATATATAGATATATAGATATATAGGCATATAGGTATATAGATATATAGATATATAGATATATAGATATATAGATATATATTCTTGCTTGTATATATTTATATATATATATATATTTCTCAAGGTGAGAAATTAACAAGAGAGCCTCTTCCATATATATATATATATATATATATATATATATATATATATATACACACACACACACACAAGCAAGAACGCATACTCATCTCTGCTTGAGCTTAAAGGAATAAACAAAAAAGACCACTGTGAAACAATCAGAAAGGATATATGCACCCCTACGTTCACAGCAGCACAGTTTACAATAGCTAATATTTGGAAACAGCCTCAGTGCCCATCAGCAGATGAGTGGATTAGAAAACTGTGGTATGTCTACACAATGGCATACCATACTGCTGTAAAAAAGAAGGCCCTCTTACCATTTGTAACAGCATGGATGGACCTGGAGAGCATTATGCTAAGCAAAATGATCCAGTCAGAGAAAGATAAATACACCTAATTGCACTCATTTGTGGAATATAATAAACAACATAAACTGATGAACAAAAAGAGATCCGGAGACATAGAAGGATCAATCAGACCATCAAACCTCAGAGGGAACCGAAACCAGTTTGGCTCAGTGGATAGAGCATCAGCCTGTGGGCTGAAGGGTCCCGGGTTCTATTCCAGTCAAGGGCATGTACCTTGGTTGCGGGCACATCCCCAGTGGGGGGTGTTCAGGAGGTAGCTGATTGATGTTGCTCTCTCATTGATGTTTCTAACTCTCTCTCTCTCTCTCTCTCTCTCTCTCTCTCTCTCTCTCTCTCTCTCTCTCTCTCTCTTCCTCTCTATAAAAAAATCTATAAAAAATATATATTTTTTTAAATTAAAAAAAAAAAGAAGGCAGAGGAGGGGAGGTAAGAGAGCAAGTAAAGGAGTTATATGCCATGGCCTGGATCCTGGCCATTAGCAGCCTCACCTGTGAAATCCCCACCCTGGGCTCCACGCAGGCCAGGAGGAGACGTGATGCCTGCAGGAGGGGAACTGGTCTTCAGAGAGGACAATACTGATGGGAACTGTGGTACTAAGGGTCTTGGTAACTGTATTTGTTGATATGCTGAAAGGAAGTAGGCTGAGTCAATGATTTGACTCATGCACATAAGACAAGGGGAAATGAGAGGGCAGGGCCGGGTGAGAATAAACTCCAGACTCCACTGTGGGGCAGGGCGGAGTTATCCTCCATTTTGTGTAACTGAGACCCTAGCCCTCACCCAACCAATCAGGGTCAGCCAAAGCAGTGACATCACCACCAGTGTAAAACCCCCAGGCGTGGTGAAGTTTGCTCTCATCCGCCAGGCGGTCGGCGTGAGTGGGACAGAGCCCACATTAACATGGAAGAGGCTCTCTTGTTAATTGCAAAAAAAAAAGGAGTTATATGCGTGCATATAAGCATAACCCATGGACAGAAACAGTAGGGGGGATGAGGACATGTGCTACGAGGTGGGAACAGCTAGGGAGAAGGCAAAGGGAGGGGTGGGGAGACATATGTAATACTTTAAACAATAAAGAATTTTTTTAAAAAGACCACCTTGAGAAATATAAATCTTGAGCTTGGACTTTATATGGATTTGGTTGGAAATTTTA